GAAACCGCGAACACCGTTTCAGAGAAACATCACGGTCTGATATTCATCATGTCCGACACTCGCACCAAGATGGAATTCCACACTCCTCCACCGACTTCTCACAGTCGCCCTGCACTTACGACTACGCCCGCTTCTCTGTCTGCCAATACTAGACCTCAGGCGTCAACTCCGATGGCGCAACTCACTGAACGGACCGTTCAGTCAACGAACCAGTTCCTTAAAACCGTCATCACCCCTCAGAAAACACAAAGATCAGAGGGAAAAGGAAGAGCCTATTTCCAAGGCAACAGCAGTGATGAATCCTCCAATGCTACCGAAGACACTACTCCGCAGCAAGCTCAAGCACCCAATTCCAAGGGAAAAGGACGAGCTGCTACCCAAGACACCATCAGCGATGAGGCCTCCAATGCTGCCGAAGAGATCATCACTCCGATGGAGGCCGATCTTCTTGCGCAAATCACCGACCTTCGAACTAGTGATTACATGCTCATGAGCGACTTCTCCATTCTCCGCGGTGAATTCCGCAAGACCGAGTTCGAGAGCGACCCAAACCACAGATACAGCATTGAATTCCGCAAGAGTGGACTCGAAAACTTCCACACCCAGTTTACCATCGATGAGGAGTTGAAGAAGCTAGAGCGGTATATGAAGACCTTCCGCATGGATCGTGCGAGCAATAAACTTACTCCAGAGCAAATTCGGGGAAGCGCGATGGGCCTGGAGACACGGGTATTGAGACGGGAGAATGCGCACTTCGAGGAAAAGAAGCAAAAGATCACCAATCTGAGAATAGAACTCGAGAAGCTCGGTTGGGTTGGGATAAAGAAGTACTACGTATATAATCTCGATATCAAGTATCAGATTATTGGCAACCAAAACATCCCCCCAAATGCGAAGTCACACCGTCGCCGGAGCGTGAAGACCGAACCTAGTTCTGCGAAACGCAAGGGTGAAGACAGCGATAACGAGTTTGATACCACCCCGAGCTATCCATCCAAGAGAGGCATGAAGTACGACGGATCTTACCGCAAACCCAAACCACCTCCACAGAGCCTGAGTCAGATCTTCCCATATCTCGAGGACGATGGACCCTCTACCAACGACGCATCCCCCTGCAGCCATGGGTCCAGTACACACACTGCCCAACCTGACTTCCTCGCAAGCCGTCACCGCAGCTCTCGTCCCCAGGGCAAAGCATCTCTTGCCCCCGCCATCAACGAAGCAAGCGATAAGATGAAAGGTATCCTCCACACGCAGGAGATCGAGAAGAACCAGGCCGAGATGCATAAGCAGAATGCAGAAATGTATAGGAAGCAGGAACGGGACAATAAGAGGGCTGCTGATGAGTCGGCCAGGATACTGGATGCTCTCAAGAAGGATATTGAAAAGGCGCAGAAGGCTAAGGATTCTCTGCGGTAATTTTGCCCCCCTCCCTTTCATCCGTAGAAAATGGGATGGATTTGGGTTTCAACATATGTTTCTCTTGTTTCTTACCAGAATGGTTGATTTGCAGCATTGTTGTTTGTGGAACAGGGAGTGGTAAGGTACGCACGGTATGTAATGCGAACCTAGATCACTTTGGTTTGGGCAGGCGCGGCTTACTGTTTGTATCGCTTTCTGGATTGTATTACACGGAAAATTTGTTTCTTTGAAGTTATGGTTACTTTGCTCGCTAGTTAGTATATCAGTAATTGTTTTTAATTATTGAAGTTTTGAACCAACTCGATGGAATTGGGTGCTTTGTCTTGCTTGTGATTTCTGGGTAGGTCAAGAGTTAGAGGAGTCTAGCTAGGTACCAAATGAGTTGTATCATAGGTTTGTCTGTTGTTCTAATGCTACACCTACTATAATAGTCACGATTGTAGGCTGACTATAAAACGACTTGTACCTGATTATTTATCCATACTTGAAAACAATACAGATATTTTCAAATGACTTCATAGTCCTGGACTTTGAATTCACAGTCTGGTACCGACCACGCGACTTCCTGTCGCGCTTTCCTCCCACCAAGTGAATAAAACAATTTTTCTATTCAGTGCAAATTCAATTTTGGACGGCCCAACTTTGTTTCTACGCGCACAACTCTGTTCTTCGTCCAACCTCACAAGACAACATAACATAACCACAAAATACAATATTCGCAACCTTGCACTTTCATATATCATTTGTACCTTCTTCTTCCACAATCACACACTATCACAAAGCCCACATTGATCAGTCGCGCCGTTCAAGCATACGAAAGCGACTTAACAATGTTCATCACCTCGTTCGAGGTCGCGGAGCTCCGCAGCGACTTCAATGCCCTCGACTCCGATCTCACCCTCCTTAAGGCTAAATACGAAAACCACCCCGAGATCACTCTGTATATCATCAGAGATGCTCCAGCTACCGAAGAATTTGCTTCATCTGAGGATATGATCTCTGAACTGTTAAGCAAAGTCAACGAGCGAGAAGTCGCGGTCATGGACATTAACGATCTGAAAGAACTCGCTGCTCATCAGACCCGTCAATACGACCACTTACGATCGCTCTTCAAGGTAAAAACTGAACATCTGCGGGCTGTGCGGCTGGGGATTGAGAAGGAATACAAAACCAAGGGCTTGGACAACGCCAAGTTCAGGTTCATCGGCGAGGAGTCTCCAAATTCACTTGCGAAAGATGTCAATCTGACTGCAGTAGCCAATCCTGCAAAGCGCAGGGCAGATACAGAACCTATTACACCACCGAATAAGAGAAAACAGGCAGTTCGCTTTGCATCGGCACGGAGTGTGAGATTTTCTCAACATTCTCCTCCCACCAGCAAGATGAGCCAGACCAATGGAATCGGCGACTTCTCCTCAAACTCCACATCTCCACTGAATAGTCAGTTGTTGAATGCACCAATAACCACCAACACGCCAAGTCCTCTTAATAAGGGGCCGGTTTTGACAACTTGGTCCACTCAGAGTCCATTGAAACAGGCTGAGCAGCTGTCTACTGAGTCCGAACTAGCACAATCAACTGAGCCCGAGCCAACAATGCCTCCAAGAACCCACCCACCCCGCCAGCTGAAGCCTTCCCCAAAAAGTCTTGCCAACATCACACAGCCAAACCGCCGAACCAATGTCACAAAGACATTTTCCACACCATCTCGTCAGAACCCAAAGCGCATTGCTAAGAGCATCTCGTACAACATTGCCAACATGAACTGCGAAACTGTGCGTCTCTCTCCAGGAGCCGAGCTCGGCACCTTTTCCCTCCTCCAGCATCCGAATTCGACTCAAAAAAACCCCCGGTCGACTGCACAACATATTTGGGAGATGCGATATCCCAATGCCAATATTTCAGTTCCAGCCCCAGATCTCTCAAATGGTCTGAGTGCCGACGGCTTGAAGGACGAGATCAAGAACTTCGTTACCAGGAGCCTCAAGAAAATCTCCGACAGGCACCCCGAAGAGAACGATGAGATTAATCGCCTAGTTGGGGTCCTTGATGGATATCTCGAACGAAACAAGATGTTGGTAGCGAGGGATATAGTGACCACGAAGCACTACGACCCAACAATTACCGAAAAGTTCGAGCAACTGACTCAAGAAGCCAAAGCTGCTAAAGAAGATGCTGCATTAAGCAAGAAGGATTTGGATAGGAACCAAGTCACAATGAATCTCAGAGAGAAGAGAATCGAAGCCCAGAACAAGGAAATCGCTGCTCTGGAAGAGACACTCCAAGCTCGCAATAACACAATCGACATCTTCGAAAACGAAGAAAAATACTATGGCATGCTCCTTGAAGAGAATGATCAACTCAAAGCCACTATGCACAATCTCGAAGTAGATTCCATGAAGTGCCGCCATTTGATGGTAAAGGAGGCTTCGAATGAAGGGGAGATAGTGTTTTTAAAGGACTCTCTGGACGTCAGTTCTAGCTTAAACGCCAAATTGCAGCAGCAGATGCTCGAATATGAGCAAATAACTGGCAATACCATGGAGGAGCTTTTGGCTATTACGCGTAGAATGCAGGCGAAGAAAATGGCTGCTCGGAACGAGGAGGAGTACATTGATGGTTTGGTTAATGACCTTGAAGTTTATAAAAACGGTCCCAACGAGCCTTCGCCTCTAGCGCGCAGATTCTCTGCTTGAGGGATTGCTTGACACCATCTGGCAGAATCGTAGGACACCCTGCGGAAGACTCAGGCATATTGGTTGTGGTGTTTGGCGTTTTCTACATATGGTCAATCAGATGATAGGAGAATTGGAAGACTGGTTACTCTGTATCTTTGGCGGATTTGAGATTTGGTGCCCTTTGGTGTGGGAAATTGAGGGGTGGGGGGGGGGGGCATTAGGAGGTTTTGATTGGAGGATCCCCATACGAACAGTTTGGAGATGGTAAAAATGGTAAATAGAATAGACATACCTCTAAGAATTTAAGCATTGCTTTCAGTAAACAGTTATAGTGCTAGCTTGACGTGAACTAATATAAGTAGACAATTAATGCTTCCGGTAAAGAAGTTTTAAGTCAACATATAGGTAGACATAGTAAGATTTACCTGCATCTAGCTACAAGCGAGGGGAATGAAAATAATAAAGAGGGAGGGAAGGTCTAGTTATATTTATGTGAAGTATTTATCGTAGTGATTGATTGATCAACGTTGTTGTGAAGATGCGAAGTGATGTGATGGAAGCGGGGAAGGGGGTTTAGGGGCTCGCTTAATAAAATAGCAGATGATGATGATGAATACCCACATGATCACTTTCTATTTGGCTTATAGCATGAGCCCTTCTTTTCATTAAATTTGATTACGCGTATTTTCTTTTTAGAGATAGTGTTATAAGGGATTTATAGCGCCTTCTTATTATTCAGATGCCCCCTTCTCCCTACGTGACCTCGTCCTATCACTTCGCTTTTGATCTATGCAATCGAAATCCCTAGATTCCGAGCATGTTAACAAATCAGGCCCAAAACATAGACCCGCGAATACTTACAAATATGCTCCCTCAACGTCTATCCAACACCACGAATCCCTAATTATCAACACTCTCATTCTACCACCACATAATCAGCACCCATCACAGCACAGTAACCTCTAAAACATCAACGCAAACCATAACTCACATCTCGCTGCCAATATTCCTCGTAGCAATTCACATTGTCCTCTGGAGAATAGAACACCAGTCCACTCCCCTTAATCACAGCCATAGGTCCCGCATACGAACTCGCACTCGCGTCCGTGGACACTAGCGTGCCGACTGCGGCTGTGGATGCGTTGGCTGGGATCGTGGCCTTGAGGGTGAAGGGCGTGCTGACTGTCGTTGTCTGCCCGTAGAAGGGCGAGGCGGAGAGGGCGTTGACGGAGGCGGTGGCTTGGGGGGAGGGGAAGTCTGTGGGGGTTAGGGTTGGGCTTGTGGTTTGGGGTTGGGATATGGGGGGAGGGGGGGAGGCAAAGGTTACCGGGTAGGAAATCTGGATAGTAATAGAAGATTGCGGAGTAGGCGGCCAGGGTTACGTTGTTGATGCAGTTGGCGAATTTGTATTGTTCGGCTGTGTCACGTTTGTGGAGAGGCGATGCTGAGAGGAGAGTGGGGAGTAGGAGGATGGTAAGGATGGCGGTGGGCAGGGTTGGATAGATCATTATGAATGAAGTTAAAGGCTGAAGGGGGTTTGGCTTGTGAGGAAGGATGCGTGGGTGAACTTTTGTGGAAGATATTGCAACTTATAATTGACTGAAGAGGAATGTGGAGTGCGAAATAATCGAACATCTAGGATATCGCCTCTACTTATATTCTAAAGCCCAGTACCTGAGCCAGGCTGGTAGCCTCGTTCAGTAACCCCCGTCAGTGCGTCCATCTGCTCCGCGTCCATCTCATCCAATAGTTCTAACCTCAGACCACCAACTGATGACTCTTATCTCAAGCCATCATTCGCCACTTCCCGAACTTCTTTCCTATTCTTCAGAATTGCAATATCCAAGCCGAATATATTACATACGAGCAGCAGAACAGCTAGCAGACCCGGCGCATGCAATTGCAAGTGTGATTAATTATACTTCGTAGTACCACAAGTCTCGTGGGAGCACCGGCGTGGCTTCATTGCAAATCGAAGGTTCCTAGAAAGACAATAAAAATCTAAGTATCTCGTGTTCGGAGCCACATCTAGACCATGAATCACCTTCTCGCCTCTGCAAACCAGGCTGTACTTGGTCTTACGACCAGCCATGACGGCGCACGTCTGCACATGGTACGGGCGCTGATGCAGTTCCCAATGCATATGATATATTACCTGCATCCCGATAAACCGAGATATCCGTTCTCCAAAGCCCTAGCACGCTGTCCGAACAAAATAATCTCTCTTCGAGACTAAGGTAGGTAGTTCCTAAATCGTTTCTAAGCGAAATTTTCACAACCAAAATAGATCTCCTAGACATATTTAATCGTTGCAGATTCGAGGTATAAGATCGCTATATTTGTTCCGCGCCTGTGGGATTTATTTTGCATCTGGCTAGAAGAAATGTGGCCTTCTAGAAAAAGAGTCCTGCATGTAATCGATAGCGCTATATATGCACGTTTATTGCGGCGCAATTAAAGTCCCTGTACTCTACACCTCTACTTGTATACCTACCTACATACTAACCTTTAAATTTCCAATCAGCCAATCGGAACCCTTCCCTCCAAAAGTTAACGACCCTACTAGCGGCCCGTCCCTACCTTACGAGTACGAAGTACGGCAAGCGCCGCAAAGATTCGCGCAAAGATTCGCCCCACGCGATTCAACCTGATATCGTCTCCGTAGTATGCACAAAAAGTTCATATAATTTATCTATCCCCTAAAATTTTGCCTTCCTGAAATAGAAACCTTGCCTTTTGAAAATTCGTGTACGGATAAGGAAGTTCAAGATAATCGAACAGGAAGCTGGTTGGGGATTGTTGCGAGCCGCAGATTGGAAGGGCGCTTTGCCTATTCAGGCATTCTGGATATCCTCTGACGCCCCTTAGTCATCGAGTACAGAATCTGGAAGGTCCCGTCCATACCTGCCTAGGTACGCTCTATAGAGTTAATCTTAATCTTATTTATAGTGTTCAGGTAGGTAGTGTACTGTTTGCAAACGCAGGTACAATATAATCAAACGAAGGAGAAAGAATGCATTATATACCTACCGCTGTATAATAACTCAGCGCCGGTCCTCGGACCTCCGATATTCATAAATTGGCTGTTATAGTAGGTATAATGATTAACATTTAGAGGCAACAAGCAAGCTATTACCCCGAACTCGGAGGTAGGATGCGATAACTCTGCGGGAGTTTAATAAGTACGGAATTGTGAATAACTCTACGTATTGGTTTGCATTGCGAGGTGCAGAGAGATAAACGCTAAGACTGACCTAGTACATATCGACCTCCTCTTGCATTGCTTACTAAGCATAATGTGGACAACTCCATACTTTACACTAGAGTTTAGTTCCTACCTTCCTACTTTAGCCTAATAGTAATATATTAGGTAATACCCAAAACTACATCTCTTATGCTCCATACTAGTACTACTGTATCTCGGATAGAATCTAAAAGCTTGTATCCCGTTTATACGTTAAAGACAGTTTTATTAAGGACTCTAGATCTGAAGGTCTCTTGAAATATCTACACGATGAAGTAGAATTTCTATCATATGTCAGAGGATCCTTACTTTATATAGGCATTAGGAGTGTTTTTCAAAAATGCGATGCAGGCAGTTCACACTACGCGTACTTCTATTCTAGACTATAGCAACAGAATTCTCAGCGTTGCGACGTACACTCTCAACTGATTAAGCTTTGTTTAGTTTGGAACCTATGTCTACAATAGTCACATCAAGCAGACGGACGAGCAGCTAATGAAGAGGGATGGTTGGTGGGAAAAAGGAGCGCTTGATGTGACACAGATGCAGCTGAAGACGATGCTGTGGGAAGGATTTCAAGATCATCCAATCCACGAAGGGTCTTCAGTGTGATGGTTAGCCGAGAGGTGGCACTAAGCCTATTGCGGACATAAATCACCCAAGGTAAAGATCTTGGTCGAAATAGTCAGTCTTATTATACTAAAGCTATATTCAGCACCGATGCTTTTCTTCAAAACTAGTTGCCATTTGTATGCACCATGCAGCAAAATCATATCATCTCAGACTATTATAAAAACATCCATCATGTCCATTTAGGAATGGTTCGCCACCCAGGCCATATACAAGCTCCGACCAGAACGCCAAACAAATTGTTTGAAAACACCATGCATGCCATGATGCTATTCTTAAATCGGCTCCGCTTGTGAACTGAGCTGGTGCACACAGCTCTCTCTCTCAATCCGAGCCTTGGACAAAGCATCGTAAATGGACAATGGCCAGTCATTGATGTTTCCGTCGGCTGAAGGACTACGACTGTCTAGCTCATAAAGGCCACTAGATGGCTCTTCGTGCCAGAAGTCCTTCTTTCTGTAAGATCAAAGGGTTAGAATTGTAAATCCGTACCAGGAAAGGAAATGACTTACCCTTTAGTAGCCCTCACCAGCCAAGCTGGGAGGAAACCGCCCTTGACCTTCCACGTCCACGCTTCCTTGAACTCCTTGTCTGGCGCCACAATGCGACCAAAGGAAACGACCTCGATGAACCAGACAGTGGTGTTTATTATGATGTATGAGACAATACCGGCAATGAGACCGTAGGCAATGGAGTATGTGAATGGCATCACAGCCAGCGTGATGAAGGCTGGTAGCGAGTCTCCGATGTATTTCCAGTTGATGCTCCTAGCAACAGAGGCCATCATCGCGCCAACAATGATTAACGTGCAGCCGGTAGCCCAGGGGGGAATAGAAGCAAATATCGGTGCGAAGAAGATGGAGATGAAGAAGCAGATGCCGGTGACCATTGCTGTGATGCCTGTCTTGCCACCTTCGGAGATACCAGCTCCTGATTCGACGAAAGTAGTGACGGGAGAGAGTCCGAAGAGAGAGCCGATGGAAATTCCAAATGCTGTGGTTCAAACTTAGTATGCGTTAATGAGATGAGGAGATGAACGTACCGTCGACCAGATAAGCAATTGCAGAGCCTTCGAAATCTTGAGTCTCTGGATTGATTGCTCCAGCGAAGCGAGCCATGGAGTAAAGTGTACCAGTGCAATCTAAGATATCAACATACAAGAAAGTAACCAACGCCAACCAAAATTGTCCAGTGATACCAGCAATGTTCCAATCCTGAGCAGCGAGCGTCTTTGTAATAGGGTGGAACGTGACCACTTTCTTGAAGAAGTCGAAGCTATCATTGCCAACGGCAGTGTGAGGGAAGTAGGTGACGGTTGTTGATCGAGGCCAAGAGACTACGGATACCAACAGGATACCAGCGATAATCGCTCCTTTGATTTTGTACGCCAAGAGAACAGCAGTCAAGAAGCCTCCGCCAAAGATGCCAAGCCACATAGTCGGATTCCGCATCTTGGTGGATCCAGGACAAACTCCTTGAACTTGTTCCTCGATTCGACATCCCGCAAGTGTAAGCGGGGTAGAGGTGTTTCCGGTAATGATGCCAATTCCAGCACTGTAAGTCATACCAATAATAGCTAAACATCTGTCAGCATTTTCAATTCACCCAAGGAGACAAAAGAACCTACTCAGATAAAGCCCAATACCAACTGATGAGGCTAATTTGATAGAAGTTGGGATAACGCGAGCAAGCCATTGTCTCATTCCAAGAAGTGATAATGCTACGAAGATAAACCCTTCCACAAACACAGCAGTAAGAGCCAACTCGTAGGTGACCGGACCTGTTCCGTGAAAGCCAACGACCGTGTATGTAAAGTACGCATTCAAGCCCATTCCCGGCGCCAAAGCGATTGGCATATTAGCAAAAAGGCCCATACAGAAAGAGGTGAAGCCTGCGATAGCTGCAGTACCTGTAATGTAGTCTCGGTGGATGCCCTCGAGACAGAGAGTGTAGTCGACATCAGTTGCGCAAGTCGGATCCTTGGCGTCGGTACAGACACAAATTCCTCCGCTGTCAGTCAGGATGGTTGCGTTGACCTGTGACTGTTAGAGCTTTCCCTTTGCGAGATCAGAGAGAGGCAGGCATACGGAGATGATGTAGGCCATTGCAAAGAATGTCGCAAGACCAGCGCGAATCTCGGTCAAGAAGCGCGCATTCTTGCGAGTCTTGATATGTCCTGAGCCTTGTAGGCGAAATCGTCGTCCTACAATGCTACCTGCGACGGCATCGTTGAGCTTTGTTGTAAAGCTAACCATATTCACGGTATTTGCCAAAGATTGTTGGTGTTGAAAAGTTGATGTTGAAGTTGATCTTGATGTTGTTGGAAGAAAAGGTCTTGGGGGTTTTATTAATCGAACAAATGGCGATTTACTTTCAGGAATTGAATCACGCCAACAAGTGGCATAGGCTACAAGCTAGGCCTCGGTGGTCGATGATAACTCTAAAATCACGGGTCAAGATGCTGGATTGGATCGACTGAGTTCTTTTGGGCTTTTTGGAATGATCTTGTCAATAAATGTGAATTTCTATTCGGAATCAACTCCGCCATAACATATATATTTTCTGCAGCGGGTATGATGAGTCTTCCGGAGGATTTTGGATTCATTAGATGGTAGTCACCTGCTTTCTATTCAATTAGTAGGTAGTTTCAAAACTTATATGCCACTATCAATCATTCATCCAGCGCCGCAGAATCGCAGATCACTTAAAAGCCACTAAACGCACAAATATACAAACAGTACGACGTGGAAAGATATATTTATTCATTTGGGTGTAGAGTATATCCATAAGAATGTAAATCAATATTATGCAGAAAATAAAAACATCCGTGAAATACCACGGTAGTCACATGACCAGGGGGCTTGCCTATTTTTGTTTTATCGGAACTCTGAACATTAGTAAATGATTCAACCACAAATCTGACGTTCTTCTATATGTTCTTGAACTAAGTGTCAGTACCAAAAGGCAAGAATTTGTGAGGAGAGAGACTTGGTAAGTTTTATGACATGTCACATGACTACTACTTATTCTTGAATTTGGGAACTCAAAACAAACCGTTGCATACCTGAATTCACAATACTTAGGTACTTGCTATGTCACCAGACTCTATGATGTTGCTTATCTGAAGCTAAATATGTCGAACTGCACCATGTAATCCACTCGCTTCACCCCATCCAGGGGCATCCATCTCTACCTTGCAACAAGTTGAAAATCTTTAAAAGGCTTTAAACTAAATCATCAAAGTGCTTCCATCTATTCAATTTGTTGCTATTCCTGATTACCACACTAGAGTTTCGTGAGCGCTATAAGCGTTCGATTTACTTTGTACCCTGTTGCGGAAGCTTCTTCCGTGGGACGTAAAATTTGGAGATGCTTCGCTCGGGGAATTGCGGACTTTCCACCGTAGCTACTTGGGGTACTTCTTTACGTCGAATTTGAATACCAGGGGCGCCTGATCCGGACATTTCGGACCCTTGCTGATCAGAGTATACCGTCTCCCCTCTGGAAACGGCACTATATCTCTTGCGTTTATAGAAGAAGTAACTATTGGAAACAAGAAGATCAGTATGTCTTTGTACGAAGTTATCAGGAATCTGAAACTTACACGGCACCAGCAATGATAGCAATCAATATTGGCATTACGAGGCCTACACATATGCCAATAATGACCTTTCTATGATGTCCTCCTTTGTTATCATCCCCAGAAGAATCAATCCCGTGGCCATGACTGCTAGTTGAGGCTGGCGGCGGAATGTATGATACAGGAGTTCCATCTGAGGATGTCATGGCTTTGGCATTCGTCCCAAAGGCCACTGTACTAGTCACCGTTACCTGTGTTGAAGGGGTAGAAGCTGCTTCAGATTTCAAGACTGATGTTACGGTAGAATACATAGAAGTGCTCTGCAGCGATGCAGGGCAATCTACAAGGCCCGTGGTCATGCAAGACGTAGCAGTATAAGTAACGGTAGATGTCGTAGAACTTGCATCTCGTCTTTCCACGGCCCCTATGGCTGTTGCTGTAGTCCCTACCGTGGTAGCAGTTTTTGAGATAGCACAAGCATCCGTGAGCGTCGTGTAGAAGATGGGTATTCTTGTACTTGGCGCCGGTCCCCAGTGATGGAGCCCAACAGATACAGTCGCACCAGAATTAGCACCGAGTGCTAGTGAATAGGCTTCCACGACGCGGAGTTCGCATCCGCTTGTGTCTCCTTTAGGAGTCTCTGTGACGTTGGTGACAAATTCGGCAACGTCGATCCAGACACCAACCTCAACTCCAGCACTAACATCACCAATTTTAATCCCCGGGATGGTCAAATCGGAAGGTGTCGCGACATGGAATCCAGCATGTACTCCGACTCGAAGGAGAGCTGTGAGCACGACGCCAGCACCTTGTACTGTTACCGGCAAGAATTCGAAGTCGCCGCCGTTGCTGGAAGTAATTAGCAGATGTTGGAAAAACGGCAGTGGGAAGGTATTGACTTACGATGTGATGCTTGAGACATTTTTGCTAAACATAGCAATATTGATAGCAGCACCATCATGAAGCTTGATATGAAAGCCACTGCTGATATCCATCCCGAGCTCTGCACTTAGAATGAGGTAGATCGAAAGGCATACTAGGAAAATCGAAGTCGTCGATCTCAAAACTGCCAGAAAATATGTCAGAAGCTAAAGTCTTCGTATAATTCTCGGTGGCATCGACAAAAGTGTTCCAAATGTTGTCCGTGTCGGATTTCACTTCCGATGTGACGTTGTGAATTGCCTGGCTGGCATTGAAGTTCCCCTGAACGGTAAATTGGGCAGTAGCTGTGCCCTTAACATAGCAGTCCTGGCAGATGAGTTTGATTCCAGTAGTGTTGTCTTTCTGTACTGTCTCGTCACTACAAATATGCAAATAAGCTGATGTACTAATAGCTGCTAGTTGACTGATATTAAGAGGAGATATTCCTACAAGTCAAACAGTACTACATCATTCCAGTTATTATCTAGTAAAGTGGTATTTGAATTGACGGTGTCCCGCTTGGACTGCGCAGTTGACGCAATAGCTCGTCGGAGAGCGAGCACAGGGTCTGGCGAAGCGGCAGTGCCATCGCGAGTAACATGGATGTTGTTGTTCAGTGGAGCGATACTAGCAGTAGAAATGCTAATACCTATAGCCCAAGTGAGGGCCACTACGCACTTTTTAACTAGCATGTTGCAAGCGTGTAAAGCAGAAATAAAAGTGGTAAAATAAGAAGAGATAGAATTGTCCCGATTTTGTTACTCGACAGATATATGCGTCTTCTTATAAGAGAAACTGGTTAGGTTGGCAATTGTAAACTCCAAATATCCATATCCTAGATTCAGCCCAAAATCTTTTGGTTGTATTTTTAGAAGGGCAATGCTACCTCTAAGCCCGATCTCTCGTACCTTCAACATGCCTCTAAGCAACCGTGCCGCACATACTAGGGAATGCTTACCTACATAGAGTACCGGTCAACAGTTTGCGTGATACAACCAGGGGATGTACGTTTATCCAGGACTGTTTCCCTCATGGTGTGCTTATCCGTCACGGTTACATCGGGACTTTGGGGGCGGTAGACAGGGATTCGAATCCCCGAGCCTCATCCAAAGCGTGGGATTGAGATTTTAGTTTTGTGACGTGTAAGAGGGGTTGGATCCCATAGCCTCATGCTACGGGTGGGCATGAGAAACTGGATTTTAACAATGGCTATCATTTTACCCGAGTACTTGCACAGAGAAAAGGATCTTGTACCACTGTTACTGATTCAACGTCTTTTAGGGTGGGAGAAGCTGTACATTGATTTGAGGCTCTGATCTTACGATTAGGATTTCGAGATTTACTCTCCCACCCCTCCCCCCTCCTCTCCTTAAAGGTTGAAACACGTAAAATCTCCATAGAACGTAGAATCCCATAGAACTGAATAGCTAGATGCTATAGCAAGTGGCCCACTATTCACGGCGCAGGGTAATTGTAAAGTCCTTATAAGGTCCCACTAGGCCTAAGATGCAGTGATATCATTTGCTTAAATCCCCTTTTTATACGGTGGGGCGAGGATCATTAAACTTTATTAAAGGGGGAGAGTATAGAGAGGCTGGGGTTCCAGTTCACAGCCCCCACCACGAAGGACATGAAATCCGCCGCGAGAGCCTTAACACTGATTGTGAGGCTTGGAAATTGAGCAGCCTACATTTTAAAAGCAAAAATGCCACATGTCTTGTATGTGTAGTCAAATTATTATATCGAAAGTTTAAAGTGACAACAACTAGACCCTGCAGGCTAACCCCCAAAGATTTCTCAGCCTGGCTGGTAGAAAAATGAGAACAATCGACGAATGGAAATTTTTGGGGGCACTGTCTTGTAAACTTGCTGTTTAGTTTTTCTAGAGCCTCACCTCGTACGTAGCTCATGATCCGAGGGTGTCGAGATTTGAGGCTGTGTGTCACGCCGCATGGACAAAGCGGGGTCCTTGCAGGCGGTATGGTATTTCTGTCACCCAGCCGCACCTATGTCGCATTTCAGCAGAGAACAAAAAAGCAGAGGTAACGTCGCACTGCGATGGGGTTAAACAAAAGCCAGGAAGTTGAGCAATGAAAGGTTCGCCATGGATATGTGCCAAGCCCCCCTTTCTCGCTTATCTGGATTAAAATATAGGCCCAAGCGGATGCTAAGCCGCAAAATTCAAAGCCTTACCTAGCATGCTTGTTTAAATTCTTGCAATTATCCTGATTGTGGATTTCCTGCTGCAATTATTATCAAGATAGCCTTCCTCATTACGGGGATACGCCGGGTGCCTTAGCCTGTTTTCATCTTAAAAGTGTTTATATAATATCCACCAGATGCATGCAGCATGCTCAATCGATTAAGTACGAGGTCAAAATTAGGGCAATAAAATGGTAATACCATCTATACAGTACATGTCTACCTAAATAGGTGTTCAAAAGAAAAACGTCACGTGCCACACACCCCTTTCACGCCTGCCAGAAATTACAGCAGGAAAGATGGTCTGAAATGCGCATTTGTTCTAGATGTCTTAACTACCGATACTGCTCCATGAATCCATCTGCCTCGCTTCGTTCCTTTATTATCGTAGCAATATGCTCCTTACTTCTGGGCTTAATTCGCACGTTGAAAGGTAATGGTGCTTGCAAAATGCCCGGGTTGTAAGCCTCGGTATCCAATGGCTGTTCCTTGCCTGTAACGGCATTGATTGGCGGGGAAAATTCATATGCCCAGAGTAATTTTGCCGCGATACGCCACATATTACGCTCTGCCAAATGAATTCCAGGACAGATACGACGTCCCGCGCCATAGTTATAGTGGTCTGCAGATATGTTAGGAAACTAGCGTATAATAACGGATTTTAGAGCTTTTTAGTGGCAGCTTACCTCTCTTTAAATAGTCCGATGTACCAGCGTAGTCGTTTGCGAGTTTTGGATGATCAAGATATCGATCGGGGTTGAACTGCTCAGAGTCTTCGTAGATGCTGTCGAGATGATGGATGGCCCAAGTGGCGATGAAAATGGTGGTATCTTTGGGAATGAACATTCCGTCGTATTCATCATCTGCACGCGCCCGATGTGGCAGCGCTGTGACTGCGACTGGTCTCCATCTCATGCCTTCCTTGATGATGCAATTGATATATGGCAGGGAGGCGAAATCAGACCAGGTAGGACTTCGATCGGAGCCACAGCAGGCATCAATCTCTTGACGTGCTCGTTCTTGGACCCGTGGGTTCGCCGCAAACGCTAGAACGAGGGTCAGGAGTTGGGCTGCGGTAGTATCGGCACCACCTTCAACCACTTCGCCCATGAGGTTGTTAAAACTATGATCAGTGAAAGGCGACCCTTTCTTCTCATATTCATCCAGCAGGTTATCAATAATACAGTTACGTCTCTCTCCACGAGCTCGTCGATCGTTGATGATTTGTCGGGCATTTCCCCAAACTCCATCCATAACCTTACCGGCTGAGATTCCGCGGCGTTTCCAGGCGGCCATGGAAGCTGGTATCAACTTCAAGAACGGAAATTCGTCGACAGGAGGATTTGCACCTGGTTCCATGGCCTCGGTCCACTATTATAACAGTATTAGCTATTAAGTTCACAACCTCTGCGTATTAATTTGATAGGATTGGAGAAACTTGCCCTTCCCATAACATCGTATACTCCCTTTTGCATATGTGTCAGCAAATGGAAACGATAAATATTTATCTTGGAATGGAACAACTTACCTTTGCCCAGAAATTATCCGGAGTAGCTCCACGTTGACCATATGTGATCGAGGCAGCTACGGAAGCAGTGTACCGTTTAATCTGATCATAGAAATCTTCTGGCGTCTCCAGCAAGTTTGCCATGAGAACAGTAGACCTACATAGAAAACTATTAGTAAGAAGCACTCTGCTTACGGACTAGTTTGGTCTGAAACTCATTTTTACAGGAAGAAAGAAGGGCGGAAAGTAAAAAGTCACGCACTCGGCCTCTTGCACCTTGTAGTGGTTCTCATCCAGTTGCTTGGGCGAGAAGGTGTGCGAAATGACTTTCCGCTTTTCTCTCCAGGTCGTATCCATTTGCTGCAACGCAACATGGTCACCCTGAGTCAAAAGATTACCAACGTAGCTTTCTGGTCGATCCGAGAAGTTTGCCCCTTTCTCGACGAGAAGCTTGTGGATTGCTTTCCGATCACAAAGAACTACGATATTTGCTGATCCGAGCTTGAGACTGAAAACAGAACCGTATTGTTTTGACCATTCTCGGAACCTGAGCATGGAGATTAGTATACCTGTATCATAGTCTGTTTATCGGGGGGTGGGGGGTCTTAGAGATAGACGTACTGTTTGAAAAGACCTGTAGTTGGGATCTGATGGATATTCCCAAGAATAGGCAGTGTTGGCGGTCCAGGTGGCATGCGTTTGTCGCGTTTCCCAACCTGCAACAGTCGGTAAATTCCGATCAAGATTACAGCGGCGGCGATGCCGAGCCCATAGATTGAGATTGCCATATTTGGAGCTCTTCTGTTGCGTACTAGAAATTTGGTAGGTACTAGTATAAGAGTCCAGAGGAGGTTGATATTTTTATTTATACAGTTGGCCGAAGTTTGAAACGAAAGGTAATCAGGACCGTGCCTCAGACCACTCCCCTAGAATGGATGGGATTTGAAGTAACGGCGTTATCCATCTAGTTAGGTCAAATGTATTGTTCATGTTCCGTCCCCGTCCCACTTAATCCCACTCCCCACAACCCCGCCCCAACCCCAACCCCGCCCCCGCGGCCCCGGAATGTCTCCGGACTAACTTAACATGATAGCACTATCTTCACCCTATATTAAATTACACATTACTAACATAGAGAATTATAATGTAACTTTTCTACGCAATATTTAGAATGCTAAACTGATTTTGATCATCTTGCTAAGCGTTTATAGTAGCAAATCCATTACATATCTATAATTACAAATTTAACTGTAGATGATTACGGGCGTAAAGGGCTAATGCTCACTGCGATCTATTTATCCATCTATCTCTAAATTATATTGCTTAACTACTGCGGAATGTTGTACCGATTTACCAAGTCCCACCTAATTATCACATGTTTATGAAGGAGAATTTGAAAGGAGATAATTCCCGAGGGAGCGGTGTATGGTATACTAGTATAGACATACCGACCGAATATGCACCGTCGCCCTAGCGTATCTTACCCCTCGGAACCCCTGAACTATGTTATTGGTAATTGATGTCATTGTAGTCTGTATATTATTTTCCCGTTTATTAAAAGTGTCTTAACGCTTGCGCTGCTCAAGAACAAGAAATCTAGTAATCTCAACTTCTCATTCTAATCTAGTAACCCATATTCCTCATTCCCACAACAACCATGTCGCAGGAACTGCCGTACAAGTTAGATGGATCCGGTCGACTCCATGGACGAGTTGCAGTGGTAACCGGATCGTCATCCGGCATGGGTCGAGCAATCGCACTCGCAATTGGGCGAGAAGGCGCACACGTCGTTTGTTCAGACTTGAAGGCCGAAGCGGCACAGCATGGCTTCGAGCATGACCGGGCCATACCAACACACACCGTCATCGCCAACAATGGGGGGAAATCAGCCTTCCAAAAGTGTGATATGGGGAAGACGGAAGAAATCTGGTCTTTGATTGACTTTGCGGTCAAGGTCAGCATCAATCACCCTCGAAAAATGGGAATAATCTAACCCGTGCTTAGGAATTCGGCAAATTGGACATCCTCGTAAATAATGCGGGACTATGGTTACCGCTCCGTGACTTCGTCGAAGAGACCGATGAGATGTGGGACGCTATGATGGGGATAAACGGAAAAGGATGTGCCACATCCATGCGCCAAGCCATCAAGCAGTTTCTTCGCCAGCCCGTGGATCCCAAGTCTGGATGTCGAGGTCGCATTGTAAACATCTCCTCAAGTGCGGGAATCGTCGCCATCCGACGAGAAGCAACGTATGCAGCAAGCAAGGCAGCTGTGTCTATGCTTACCAAAAATGTCGCATTGGATCATGCTAAGGACGCCATCAACGTGAATGCAGTCTGTCCTGGAGTCGTCCGGACAGCAATGTCAAGTACGAACTTCAACGATCCTTTAATTATCGCAGAAATGAAAAAGGGAACTCCATGGCCTAGGCTTGGAGAGCCAAACGACATTGCGAATGTCGTGGTCTTCCTGCTTACAGATGAAGCACAGTGGGTGACTGGTCAGAATATTGCGGTTGATGGAGGCTTCACCGTAGGCATACCATTATAATGATTTGAAAAAGTAATCCCAATAAGAATTGCATTATTCAATGTCATACGTCTAATACATTCTTAATACGCATGCATGTGAAGATGTGCAACAAAGATCATGGAATAAAGTAGTCATCTCTCAAGTTCTCAAAATGCGGGTCGATTCCTTTCAAACGCATAAACGCATAAGAGGCTTCAATTTTGTTTCATAACAAGAAATTAAATTTCTTGCAACAAGTTCGGTTGCTGCTACAGCTTTGGCTTTGCGATTTACAAATGCAGCAATGGGTCAATAATACCAGCTGCTCTTTCTTGAGGAACCTTGGAACCATGTTTGCATCAGTACAGACACTATCAAAAGTTGAGGATTTCATAGTTGCACTTGAAAGCTTTTCTGCGTATACCGTATATTTTATAACAACACAGATAATCTCTATCTTGCTCTTATTATTGACCGCGTGATATATTGATTTGCTGCGCTAAAGGTATATTCACTATATTAAGGGAACCTGGTTAAAGTTGTGCAAAATTATAACATCTCTATTCCCACTGCGACATAAACTCCTTGGCCCCAGCCAACTCCCTTTCTATAGCTACAAGATGCTCTTTACTTCGCGGAACCACTCTCACCTTAAAAGGTAGCGGACTGACTAATATGGCCGAGTTATACCCATTAGGATCTAAGGGCACCACATTTCCCTCACTATCCACAGGCTCTGAGATGTCAAATGCCCAGAGCAGTTTCGCAGCAATTCGCCACATATTCCGTTCCGCAAGATGCATGCCAGGACACATGCGTCTGCCTGCTCCATATCCATAATGATGTGAAACCAATGTTAGCCTAAGAAAAGGCATCTAGAGAGGTAAACTTATCTCGTCTATTATAATCTGACCCTACTGCATATTCGGCTGCAAGTCCAGGATGCCCAAGGTACCGGTCAGGATCAAACTTGTCACAATCCGGGTAAATCTTGTCGTTCTGATGGATGGCCCAGATACCAACAAAAATCATACTTCCTTTGGGGATTAACATGCCCTCATACACGTCGTCTGATAATAGTTTAGCTTTATATCTCTCATGAAGAATAGTATAGGATCTCTGCTTACCTTTGTTAGACATGTGGGGTAGACCCGCAGGAGCTCTATTCAAAGTCAGAATAACACACTAAAACCAAGCTGTTGTTGGAAACTTACGTCGGCCGCCACCTCATTCCTTCCTTGACACAGGCATTGATATATGGAAGATTCTTGAAGTCCGAGAATAATGGAGCCCTCTCTGTACCACAAACTTTATCGATTTCCTCCCGGGCTCTCCGCTGCACTTCCGGATACTTGGCAAATGCCAGGATCAAAGTCAATATAGAATTTGCAGTAGTGTCGGCTCCAGCTTCAAGAAGCTCCCCGAAGAGGTTGTTGAATGAGTGTTGAGACATGGGAAAGCCACTCTTCTCAAATTCATCAAGTTTGGAGTCGATGAAACAGTCACGTTTGTCTCCTCTGGCCCTGCGTGCGTCAACAATTTCCCTGGCTTTGGTCCACATATCGTCCATAGTCTTCCGTGTCTTCACCGCCCGTTTCTTCCAGTGCCCAGGGAACAATTGGAGGATGGGAATCTCATCAACTGGAGGATTTGCTCCGGGTTCTTGTGCAGTAAGCCACTATAAATGTGTAAGTAAACTGATTGTGAAAACGATGACCATTTTCTAGAGGTTTTTACCTGTTCCATCAACTCATAGAGATCCTTGTACCAGAATGAGTCGATATCAGTAGCTCTCTGTCCATACAGAAGGGTGGCTGCTACCGAAGCTGTGTAAAGCTTAGCCAGCTCGAATATCTCATCTGGCCGCTTTAAAAGATTGTTCATGAAGAAAACTGCTCTTCACAAGTAGTCCCACGTCAGCTCAGAACTTCAACTACAAAAAGGTAACGGATTCCCTTACTCAGCCTCTTGAACACGCCAGTGCTTTTCGTCGAGCATTTTTGGGTTGAGGTTGCGGGTTACGACTGATCGTTTCTCTCTCCAGGATGGAGTTTGATTTTGGAGCGTTAAGTGGTCTCCATGAGTAATGTAATTGGCCACATATTGGGGAGGTCTGTCGGAGTAGATGCTGCCCTTCTTATCAAGCAAGTCGTGAACGGACTTGCGATCGCACAGAACAATGATGTTGGACCCGCCAACCTTGAGTGAGAAAACCGAGCCATACTCCTTGGACCAGGCATGGAATCTAAATTTTAAAAGTTAGATTAGGATACTATACTTCATTGTTTTCTTTCTCTTACTTTTTGCCCAAACCAGTGGTTGGAATCTGGAGCGCGTTGCCGAAAAATGGGACCGTTGGTGGGCCTGGTGGCATGCGAGAATCACGCCGACCAATCCGTAATACGCGGTAGATAGAAATCGCTATAAGCGACACGACTATGTACGGAACGTAGAACGGAATTGGAATAGACATATTTGAAAGATAATTCTTGTTCAAAGGTAGCCAAATCAATCACAAAGCCAATTCTGGTGTGAAAGAAGCTGGAGAGGTATGCTGGGTCACCGGAACTCTTTATCAACCAATACCAGGGTGCACGTTCCAAATACTTTTGGGATTGTGGGGAGCGGGGTGTGGGGTCACTAGTTGTTACGGAGTGAGCCAAAGGATTTCCGGACTCACTTCGGAAACCTAAGCAATAGACTTAAGAGTGATAGACAAGGTCGCTATTCACATGGGGAATCGAAACCATTACAGTGGCTATGCAACCTTTCTGCAACGAACTATGCCCCGCCTGTACAGTATATCCCCTCTATAGAGAGCACTAGTCTTATTATACTTCTATTTAGCTTGTTGATATATATTTGCTAGCGAATAATGAGATCTTGACATACACAGGGCTTCAAACATCCAACATCACTTAAGGCCCTAATTGAAAGTTTATCAAAATGACCTTCTATTAAGTTTCAACCCGATTTTATATGCGAATCTGGTTTGGTAGCTGTTTACGCTCTAAATAAGTGGCGCCAGACACGTGCAGATCAGCGCTAGCGAAACCCAGAAACATCGTATCTGGGAACGCTACTCCGTACTTTGCAAAAGATACATGAGATCGTCAAACAGATCAAGGAGGGAAGCCAAATAAGGAAGTTGCATAAAGAAGTTGAATGCAGTGCCGTAAAACAGCGCTGCATCATCGCACAGATTTCGCACCCCCCTGCATCCATCCCATCTACGTATAGTACCGAGCCCACGGCACGGCCCATGGATAAGTTTCGCTCCGTGCTCAATATAGAGAAAGAGTAAAACGGCTTCCAACACCGAAACTGATCCGCATCTCAAGACGTAAGCGAGTCTTCTTTTAGTAGAATTACTGGTGATGGGTACTTTCTCTAACCCTTGATAGAACTGACCTCGGTCACCTTCACGGAAAAAAAGACAGAGCGTGTACGGTTCGTGAGAGATAATAACAATCTTGCCACCCCCGCTCACAATTCCTCTCACTATCGTATAGATATAGCCTCGTCCTTGGAACTTTAAGATACATACACTAGACAACCACCAACTTCAGAATCACTAGTAGCACAGTCAGAGTCCTAGGATCATCTCTCTCGCCATGTCAGTCAAAGGTCGAGTGGCAATCGTGACCGGAGCCGGTGGGGGTCTGGGACGAGAATACGCCATTTCATTGGCAGCCGCTGGCGCAAAGGTCGTCGTGAATGACTATGGTGGGACCCTGGATGGTCGTCCTGGTACCTCGGAACGGGCCCAAGCCGTCGTCGATGAAATTACAACAGCTGGAGGCACCGCCGTTGCGGATAGTCACGATGTCTCAAAAGATGCCAAAGAAATCATTGCAGATGCGGTCAAAACCTATGGCACTGTCGATATACTAGTCAACAACGCTGGTATCGCGGGAAAGCCCTCCTCGCACGACGATGTAGACGGTGAGGCATTTATGCGGGTTCTTGAAATCGGTGTCCTGGGCACGACACTCATGACCAGCGCCGCCTACGCGCTTATGCGAAAACAGGGCCACGGACGTGTCATCAACGTCTCTTCCAATTCAATATACGGATTTGGTGCTGGGGGCGACTGTGCATACGCCGCTTCGAAGGGGGCGATCTATGCGTTGACCAGAGATCTAGGACGATTTTCCGAGAGAGATGGGATCAAGATCAATGGAATATTACCAAGTGGATGGTCGAGAATGGGTGATATGAGCGAAGGGACAAAGCTGGTCACGAGGACGTATTTTGATCCGGCAAAGATCAGCCCCTTTGTTGTATTGCTCGCGAGTGATGAATGTCCGGTTTCTGGGGAGATGTTCACCGTCTCTGCCGGAAGGGCCGCGAGGGAGACGTTCGCAACTTACCCGGGAAGCAATGCAGCAACTACTGAAGGCTGGTTGAGTGATTGGAATAAAGTCTTTGGAGTAGGAGACGAGCCCTATGCCGCCAGTAGCTGTCTGGATCATGTGCAGTATATAGTAAAGAACGCAACCGGAAAGGACATGGAGGCCATTGCGGAGTTTGGTCTTGCTGCTCAGTAGTAGGCACAAGTAGTATTATGAAACAACAGTCACAGATTCGGATGAATATAACTTGTGCTACCGAATGATTCCGATTAAAATATATTACCCTGTCTTGTCTACTAAGAAGGTCATCACATATATGCCCATTCGCTAGCGTTCGGTTGTCCAACTCGGTCTTATAGCCTATGGGCTTTGGATCTTCAAAGTATGATTAGCACATACGAGCCTCAGAAGGTTTTACCTTTATTTTCAGGGTACCTCCTTTAAAAAGTAGAAGGCTCATACTTAGTTATACGGCAAGATCTAAATCGAGATCTGCCGCCTCGGAGAGTTTTATCGGATTCAATACGACGCCACAAATAGGTATAGCTTGAGATCTACCGAGATATGAAGCCATCTAGCCAGTTTCCGTCTTTGAGGTGAAAACGCCAAATATGAGTCCTGTGCACAAAGTTCAATTTGTTGCACACTAGGATTACAAATTGGAGTTCCCAATAGCGTTTATGTTGACATTTCTCTATTATAAGCACGATGTTGGGACTGTAGCAGCAATGTAATATGTTTCTTAAGACGTCCTCTAATTCGAGCATTCTAATAACTCATAGCGAAACATAAAAAGTCGATAGAAACTCCATTGAAACTCCAGAAACATATTTAAACTTCGCTAGTTTAACACATAGTAACATCCTCCATACAGCTGAAACTAATTCTTTAGAATACTCCTCATCACTTGTACCAACTTATCTGCGCATGCCGTTTCACCGCTTAAGACATCGCTAGATCTCCAGGCCACAAAACGGTCGGGTCTCACTAGAAGGACACCTGACTCGTTCACCCCCCTCACGCTGTCCCAATCCGAATACACATCTACCCAGTCTTGTCCGAAACCAATAGAGTAAGCGCTGATCTCGATGTTCAACTCCTTCTCAACTACAGCCGCTGCCGATTTCCAAGCCTCGCCGCCGATACCAGTGAGGAGAGTGAACTTTCCCTTCCCAGCGAGATCTACCGTCGATATAGGAGTACCTGGGGTTTTTTGGTTGAGCCAAACGTGAGGAAGGCGTTTGCCGGGGTATGTGCTCGGCATGTAGTAAAGCACTGGATCCTCGGCGGCACGACCCTCCAACGCGAATGGTACTGGCTCATCGGCTACGTAGATGCCGGGGCCTGAGTAAAACTGATTCATCTCGATTCCCAATCCATGGAACTCGTGAGATGTTCCCTTGATCGCGGCTTGGAGTTCTTTCCGGCGGCTCTGTCCTTCAGGAGTCGCAGCTGAGAGTTCGTTCAGCATGGCCACACGCTCTGAAAGCTCTTCTGGAAACATTCCCAACACCTTCCAGATGCGTGCATGCTCGTGGAAAGACGTATTGGCACGGCTGATGATGGATTGGCCAACGGGTTGCCGCTCCACACTGTAAGTTGACAGAAGGTTCGGTGATGCGTAACCCTTGAGGACGTAGGCAATTTTCCAGGCGAGATTGAAAGCGTCTTGAATGCAGGTATTCGAGCCAAGGCCGTTGAAAGGAGGATGGCGATGTACCGCATCACCAAGACAGAAGACGTTGTCTTGAGAGTACTGTGATGCCACAATGTCATTAATCGTCCATCGAGATATATTCACAATTTCTACTGGAATTGAGTCGTCGCCGATCAGGTTCTTGACTTGGGCTTGGTATTCTTCTCTAGATGGCTCGGGCCGTTCAACTCCAGGTTTAGGAAACAAGATGAACATCCATTCAGTCCAGGGCTTTACCATTCGAACAATTGCCATCCATCCCAAATCACAATGTGGCCGGTCGGGCTGCATAACCCAGTGCAAATTTCCTTGCCGATGCTCGATCAAATGTGACAGATCCGCTTTCACGAGCACATTGATTGCTACCCCTGAACCAGGCTTGGCAATGAGAGGCAATGCCAGCTGCTTCATAACTCGAGAACGCGCTCCATCGGCCCCAAAGAGATATTTTGACTGGATCTTGAACTCTTTTCCAGTCAAGTTGTCCACAAGTGTTGTGACAACACCAGATGGTCCGTTATCCTGGTACGAGACAAAGGAGGTATCGAAACGGCACTTGAAGCCATGTGTTGTTGCATATTTAATAAGCGCTGGCTCCAGCAACGTTTGAGGCAAGTCACATGGTGCACACGGGCTGGCAGCTTCATAATCGCCTTTTCGTTGGGGATCATTCCCCCAAGAGTAGATGCGAGCGTATTCCTCGCCAGCCATGCTATGGCACCACCTCGTGTGCATCATGCAGTCTCCCAAACTCCCCAGCCTCACACATTCCTCATCCAGGCCCACATCTCGGAGTGCTTCCAGGGCAGCAATGTTGGTAATATGAGCGCGGGGTGTATCTGCGCTGGTGGCGGCAGAGCTGATCATGAGACCAGTGATTCCATGAGAAGTGAGAAAGGAAGCTAAAGAGGCTCCTGCTGGCCCCGTACCAATGATGAGTACGTCGTATTTCGTAGGGACATCGCCTGGCAGTTCCTGTGGCGAGGAACCATTGACAGCGGGTTGATGTGTTTGTGAGGCACCGCCTGGGAGGCCGTTTGGTAGAAAGTTGTTGACAGCCGGGGAAGGTGTCTCTAACTCTCCGTTTTGGCTATGGATTGTATTGCTATTCGCACCCTGGGGGGGTATTTCTGATTGTCCGTTTTCGCTATGGGCAGCAGTGCCATTTACAGTGGGTGGTAAAGAACTCATCTTCCGCGTTGCTTCCTCATAGTAGTAGGATGACAGAAACTATAAGAACTATAAGAACTACTCGAGTTCCAGAAGAATGACATGTTTTTCCCCAGTAAACAAAACATAGCTCCGTATGGGGTTGGATCGGCCGGGGCCGGTAAAATATGCAGAGGGCGGGATAGTTCCGAAGTTACGAAGATCCAGCCAGACGTCTCTCCGTGATCAGAATCCGCAGCAGAAAATCGTCGTCCAAGAGTGAGAATAATTATTTTGGATATTTGGATTGTAGCGAAGTTGGTCCGGAGGTCGTCGTTGTCAAGTCATGTGGAGACAGATTCGGCAATTCGCCCGTTCCCCGCCATGCAATATGGGGCGATACCGCATGGCCTATTCATCCGAACATACATGACAAACAGTAAATAATATTTTGTAAGAAACTGGTAATCAACGGTTCATCTTGGTTGAAAATTGAAAGCCTACCGTGACTATATCTAGTGCCACCGAGGTTTTGAACATTGTCTGCTACGTTTCGACTCACCAGCCTAGCATCCTATCTATCAAGTTTTATTCCAGGTCGGTAGTTATCAACATATATTTTCGCAAACATGGTCACCGCCGAGCCAGAATTACGAAAAATCCAACTTAAACGTATTTCTCATGTCTACTATACACATGCCGCAAGCTCCATCGCCAAGCAGAAGGAGTTTCTCGCTGATTTCGGCCTCTTCGAATGCACGTCTCCCTCTCCCAGCGCCGACAAGACCTACTATCGCGGCTATGGCATCGATCCTTGGGTATACTGCTTAAGCTCCGGCGAAGAGAACAAATTCGGGGGTGCGGGCTTTGTTGTCGAGAGCCTGGACGATTTAGAGTATGCTGCAAAGACGCTGCCAGAAGCAACGCCTATTTATGACTTGAAAGATTCCCCAGGCGGGGGGAAAGGTTTGACGTTCAAGGATCCGGTAGATGGGTTCCCAATGCATTTGGTGTGGGGTCAGGAGGAGAGGACCCCGGATTCAGATGAGCAACTTTCATTTCCAAAGTTAGATTTCAATTTCGTAAGTTTATCTATCTTGAAGAGCTGCTGTGTCACCTCTTTATTTACTTACTATGTTTATCTTTGTGTAGCCTCGGGTGAAGACGAGAGCAGCAAATAAATTCCAACGATTTGAGAAGAGTAAGGCTGTCATAGACTTAATTTGACAAGATGACTGACCATTTTCTGTTCCAAAGGACCGGCTCCAGTCCACAAACTTGGCCATTTTGGAATGGTAGTGACAAACTTTGCCAAGACATACGAGTTCTATCAATCCCGTTTCAATCTCATAGCTAGCGATGTAAGTCTCCGGGGTCTACATTCAAGCCACCATGAATCAAATCTAACACGATATCCTTCAGCTCCTTCATACTCCCACGGGCCACAATGTCACAGCCTTTAACCGCATTGATCGAGGCCCTGATACCCTTGTCGACCACCACACTTTCTTCTTCTTCGAAGGGCCCGCTAGCCACGTACACCACGCTTCCTTCGAAACACACGACTTTGACACTCAAGTACTCGGCCATGACTGGTTGCGCCATAAAGAGTATGAGATATGCTGGGGTGTGGGAAGACATATCATGGGGAGTCAAATCTTCGACTACTGGTTTGACCCGTCGAAATTCATCCTGGAGCACTATGTTGATGGCGACCTGATGAACAACAAAGTACCGACTAACGTTGGTGTGGCAAGCCATGATGATTTGGCCGTGTGGGGTGAGTAGTCTCAAACTCTTCCGGCTCTGATTTCGATAGATGATTTGAATTTTTCGGCTAACGGTTCATCACACTACAGGTCCAGATCTCCCAGAGTCGTTCTTGACATGAGAGGCTAAGTGAGCAAGGAGGGCAAAAAAGCACCTTATTTTATCATTAATCAATGTATAGCAAGAGAATCACCGAATAGCGTTAAGTGTCTATATACATGGCAAGCGCCCAAGTCGTGATGCACAATGAAGCAGTGACTCGTTACACGGTTTAGTACATATAGGCTCCACTTAGCAATTCGTCGATATAATTCGGCAGCTCTGAATTCCACCCATCCATATGCTTCCCAAACGCCTGGCCTTGTAGCGGATCTTGTCCCAAGCCGAGAAACTGGCCCTCGTGTAGCCCCGAAAATAAAGCTTCTCCCTGGTCGTTCGAGTATTGTGGCGAGACCGACGCTCCACCGTCTGAGTACTGCGCCTGCTGGTGCGCATCTTTGTCCATTTGTGACGAAAAGTGCATAAAATCAAGAGTAGAAAGTGCGGGAGACAGCGGTGCTAGGTAGTCCCGGGAAACTTGAGGCTGATGGTGTGAATTGTGCTGTGGCAACGCCTGTAGCTGCTCGTGACTTTGAAATCGTTCGTCTCGGGATTGTTGACACCTTGGCCCCAGATTTATCGCAGCATTACTGCTAGAATTTGAGCTGTTTGTAAGTGGAGGCGTTTGTTGACTGCATAAATTGCTAGACCCGCGGGGAGTGCGATCATTGAGGTTCTCGGATTGAAGGGACTGTCCTGCGACAAGTGTATATTAGTACGTAAACTTCATATTTAAAGTGAGACTTGATTTACTATTTTCAGATTGTAAGTCGTTTTCCTTTTCTAGAGTATGCGTGTCATCCTTGCATATCCGTTGTCTACGACGCACTTTCGGCTGAAAATTGTTTGGTTTCTTTGGGATTGAAACGCATATCTGCTCCAGTTGTGACTCCAAGGTTTCAAGGTTCCGCTGCATCGCGGTCTGGATATTCCAGAACGAAACACATTTCTTGTATGTGATATTCAGTACTTCGAACTTAGACTTGATAAGGGATATATTTGTTCCCGGTGGGCCAAATTCTTTACGAACTAGCTGTACTGCCGAAGCAAGCCATATTGTGCTGGCAAGAAAATTGTTGATCCACTGGATATGGTTCTCACTGCTGCGACGGATGATATTCAGGACCTCATCGGCGGCCTCAAAGTACTGATTCTCGGCAATATTGTCACTGCTGTTCATGGAACTTGGTGTTGAGCACCCGCCCGAATTTTCTTTTCGTTGGTCTTGGATTATACGACCCTCCCGAGCGGATTCACTGAATATGTCGTAGTGGTGTATCATGAGTCTTGCGAGTTGGGTCATCATATGGATGTTATATAACCCGCAATGAGATTGTCGTAAGGAAGATGGCTGGCCGGGCTGTGGAGCATCAAACCCTAGGTACTGGTTTCGGTACTTCAAATGTGATGGTAGCGCCATAGTAAAGCAGTAGACGGAGTTGGTAAGCGTTTCCATCTTCTCCTTTGCCTGTTCCGTTATTCTAGCATTTTGCTTCTGGTCCTTGGTAGATTTGGGGGACAGACGATGTGCAGCCGGCGAGGACAGGTTCGGAACACCTCTCGGACTTGATATAGACTGCGCATCCTTCATCAGGGAATTGATAATAATGTACCATGCTTTAGGGGACTGATTCCCAGAATCCTGTAGCACTTTCCATCGGCGAACTGGATCTGGTTCCAAAAAGCAACTTGCCTGAGGTTTGCGTGTGTACCACTATGATGAATTAGTATTGTTTCATGTAAAGAGCAAGAGTCGATAATATGAAGCGCTCTTCAGAGGCTCGACGAAGCGAATTAAGAGAGGAATAACAATGAAAGGTGTTGATTACATGCTCATCTTCAACAGGAAGCAATGTTTCAATCTGGGACCAGTTCACAGCTGTTGGGCATCGCCGGACTGTACTGGCGAAGACATCCATTTCCCAGATAGCCCACCATACCCGGCGCTCCTCCTCGAGGTCGCACCACTGTTGTACGTCTACGGTTTCTTGTGGATGTGCAGCGTCCACGAGATGCAAATTTAATTCGTATGCGAGGCGCACACACGTCCCAAGAGACCTCCATGCCTTGCCACGTACACCCTGGGTGAGCTGACCATGTGCAATGAGGACCAGTGCTTGGACGACACAAAGAGGGGGTGCTTCTTCATCACACTCCTTGAGAGCCTCATCGGCAAACTTCGAAGCCAGGTCGAGGAAGAAGGCAGGTTGGTGGATTGTTTCCGCGGGACCACTAAAGTCGTACCTATGCCCGCCATGGTCTTCTTGAGGGTAGAATCTCGCCGAAAATGCCAACACAGCTGCCAAAAGAGCATGCACCTGAGCTACAGAGCTAGTGCCAATATTTTGGATCTTTGCCTCAAAAGTTGGCTCATGCAAAATGCTTATTGCGGTCATATTTTCAAAGTAGATGTGGATCCTAGACCGAAATTTAGCTTTTTTTCTCGACTTTTCCACCTTGCTTTGGGCTTACATTCTCTCCAGTGTATCTGGTCTCACACTTAGCGCATACGAAGCACGATTGACCATGAAGGTCCTTTCGTTGTCAAGACCATCGCCTGCAGATCGTGGCGTCGTGTTCTTCTCCTCCGGCGTGGATGCTTCGTGTGCTGGATGTAATATGAAGGAGAGATCTTGAATATTTATCGAGCTACGGCGTGCATTCGCACTCTCTTGGCTCTCAACTTCTCTATTCGACAAAGTCTGCCGCTGACCTTGACTACTTCCAGTGGTAGGAACACCCGCCTGCGCATTGTTGCCTTCATCTTCTTTTGGTGCAGGTTTTCTTTTATTTTTACGAGCTGCTACCGTGCTTGCTACTTCTCCCTCAAATATGGTATTCGGCTCCACACTCAAATTCGCATGGGGGGGTATGGCTGGTCCATCGTCGCTGTCTCGATGCGTACGCCGCCTCTTGCGACTCCGTTGCGTCGAGCCTGCGCAACGTCAATTACAGGACTTGTCCTGTGTACAGACAGTAATATACCTATTTTAGGGCCTGGCTTCAATACTTGAGCCGGGTATTCGCAGACTTGCGATGTTCGCTCACACACTTCACAGCAGGGTAGTTCTCGACCACTATGGCACATCGTTAACACAGGATCATTTCTAACTGTAGCATCTGACTCACCATCGAATTTTGCGCCTACAAAGTCAGAAATCAATGTCAGTCGAGTAATATACATCTAATCATACTGTACTGAACATACCTCCGACACATGTGACAGGCAATGTGTGACAGGCGAATTTCCTCCTCCCTCGAACTGGAGCTGTCATCGTCAATGGTCGACATGATGCGCACGCACGTAAGTACAATACTGGGAGGTATTGAAGCCGTTGATGTTGATTGCTACTGCGGGGTGAGGAGTGTAAATGGTTACGTTGAAGCGTGATTGAGAAGTTCAGAATCGAGATACTGCGGGGCCCCGGGTTGAAGGTGTTATTCTTGACGCATTCCCCACATTCCAAATGCCACTACGACTTCAGCTCGCTGCATGGAGACGTACTCACGAATCCTGAACCTATCAGTCAGCGGGGCAGGTCCCCAGAAACAACAGACTCCAGGGCTCGGACAGAACGCTGGTCTGAAAAGGGGCTAGCGACCAGCGATATAGTCAAGGTCGAGTCAAGCCAAGTGGGTCCTCACAGAAAAACCGAACCTGATTATTCGTACAGTACAAGCTCCAAAGCCTTCCTTCCTCTTTTGATAAAACGATGCCGAGTATGATTTGGGCCGTCCTTTCGCGATATAGAGGCTAAGACGTCTTCACGTTTCCAAAAGGGTTGAAGGCGAGCATTACGTTATACTAAAGCCATAAAATTCGAGTCTGGAGATTGCAGATCCGTTTCCGGGGATGGTATCTACGCTTCTGACTACCTGTACTCCAGAGCTCTTCCAAACGGCATAACTAAAGACTGTGGTTGGTATAAGAAGCGGGTCTTAATGCTTGATGACTAGAAGAAAAGTTAGTTAGATAAATGAGGAACTCGGATAGCTCAACCGGAAACCTGCCACATCTACAGTAGTAAGCACAAGCGTCGATCATCATTCTGCTAACCAATGGCAAAGTCGTATTTGGCTGGTCATGCGCTACTTAACAATCAATTATACCCATCCTGATTCTCAATACTTTATTTGGCACATCAGATTTAAGGATCCATCCTCTGGGCCCGGCTACTTCGGAATCAGAAGAAAAACGTTGAAATTACTTTGTACGGAGTATACGAAGTAGAAGCTACTTCGTGCTCCGTAGAAGAACCTTGACGCCCCGTGACCATACCCCGGACTGTCATCGACGCCACCGAAACCCCAGTGATAAGCAGCTTGTGATTTGCATTGGCCGGGAATCCTCCACTAACGCATACTCCGCATGGACGAATTTCGGTCTATCTTCGACACATATTCCTCCACGGCACGGCCGCGCCAACTATCCGAAAGTGGGTTACCACCATTCGTACTGTATTCATACGGCAGGCCAGATTTACAATGAAACTAGAAATCTGGAGCTCATTAATATGCTAGAAGATCTAAAACTGAGGCTGTTCAGGAAAGTCGTCCCCAATGTCAAATCACATGAGGCAGGTCACTTGGTTGAAAAGGAAACATACAGGATCCGTTGATAATACGTATGTATAATTTGTTATGCGGTCTAGATAGCAGCAGAACTTATACACGGCATAACTACTCATAATAGATCTCATTGATCAGTGTCCCAATCTTCTCAATCTCGACCCTCATATCATCACCATGGTTCAACACTACCTTTGGACTCCGCATGCAACCGATGCCTGGCCCCGTTCCAGTCATGATAATCGTACCCCTCTCCAGTGTCGTACCTTTCGAGAGATATGAAATCGTGGTTGCAATGTCAAAAATCATCTCCTTGGTGTTTGAATCCTGCACCACACTAGAATTATGAATCGCCTTGATTGCTAACTTCCCCGCATCTCCAATGGCAGCGGGTGACACAAGTACTGGTCCGATTGGTGCTGAGCCATCCAGGCCTAGAAAATCAGCATTAGTCTTACATCCTCGAGCGAGGTACTGATGCTCACCTTTGCTAAAACACCACTGGCTGTTTAAAAACTGTGCATTCCTCGCGCTCACGTCGTTGCTGCACGTATAGCCGAGAACGTAGTCCAGCGCATCCTCTACCTTGATGTCTCTTCCATCCTTGCTAATCACAAGGCTGAGTTCCGCTTCGTAATCGCTACTGCCATCCTGTGCAAACTTGGGGACCGCAATCTTTCCGGGGAAAGGTCCTGCAATCGCCGTTCTAGGCTTGATGAACAGGACGGGGTCGTTTGGAATGGCCATGTTGGCCTCTTTTGCGTGGTCTCGATAATTGAGGCCCATGCATCGGATTATTGGAACATCACTTGCGGCAAGAGGTGAGAGGAGCTTCCTGAGGCGTCAGTACGTACCCAAACAAAGCCATCATCAAGAGATATTTGAAAGACGAATGGTAATGGCTTACCTGCTTGATGTGCACGACTTTCTCAGTGACTGTTCCTGAAAAAGCAGAACCGTTTATCAGGTTGGCGGCAACCTTTTCTCCCTTAAAAAGTGACAATCCCACATCAGGGTATTTGGAGGCGTCAACGTTGCCGAAGTGTATTTGCGCATCCTCTTCAGCAATGAAGCGTACCAAGTGAGTCCAGGCTGCCATTGTGCTTGATTTCGTGTCTAGTAGATCTGGATGATACTTGACTCTGGACAATGATTTATTAATTTTTGATTTGGGAACACAATCGAAAAGAAAAAATTACTTATTGCAGTTGATATGGATAGATGATGTAGGGCTCAACTAGTATCCTAGCTAGTAGATCGATCAGGTTCGGGTGTAGCTTCAAAGATGGGATCCTAATGGGGCGAACTTTCTCGGGCCAATTTCGCTCCTAGAGATCTTTGAGATCTCATAATGCGTGCTCTTTGGCCAATTAGACTCCACCCCGGGACGTTACCGCTTCACATTCGCCCGAAAGGCTGTCGAAATCTTGTTGTAGCTCGAACATATGACCCTGATCCTTAATGTAGGTGATGGTTTGTGGGGATTCTGGGGAAGATGGTACTCGGCGGGGTAATTGAGGGAGCTTTAGCTCCTGTAAATTGTACGCTAGCTAAGGCTCTCAGCTGAACAACGCTTCTTATTCGAGGTTTACTTGACGGAGCAACTTCAAAATGTGAATCGTTCACCTTTGATTTGACCAATATTTGAGTCTCATGCCAATTACTATGCCACTTGTACCTCTTCACAAAAAGGTATCATATTCATGTCACCAATCTTTTAGTCTTGTGGTAGCAGGTGGAGCCTCTGCAATTCAGATAAAGCTATGGCGCTCGACTCACAACACATTAAAAATTTATATCAAGGTTGTTATATTGTTAAGTGTCTTCCATTCAAATTTCACTTGAGGACACTATTATAGCGATCCATAAACTAGCTTAAGCTCTACAATGTGCCACGGCACCACAAACTCCTTATAATACGTAAAAAGCGCATCAATGCACGCCTTAAAGCCAGGCCTCTTCTCAAATTCCTCATGATGTGCCTAATAAGTCAGCAGAGTTCCTGTACAAGCACATTCTTTTCCGTCTTTCATAAAGCACAAGATGAGAGCTTAGGGGAAAGGAACTTACATCTACACTCTTCCAATTGATCAACAATAATTGGTCTTGCGGATTCTCTATCAACGGGCTTATGAAATGCCCGTCGCAACCTGGGTCCTCATTCAGAATCCCAACTACCACCTTGCTAAAATTCTCATAATATCCCGCTACACCACCCTCGACAACTTTCGTAAGTGCAACTTCAATGGCAGGACTATTGAGCGTTGCTTTCAGGTGCGCTACATCATCGATGCCTGTAGTGTTGAGCAGCGCATGATTTTGCCATGTGATGTGGCGCCCATTCATCGCTGGTTGCAGGACTTTATGGAAAGTAGCATACGCGGGGGAGGTGAAGAACGCATGGCTGGAGTCTTGCGAGGACCAAAGAAGGATGGCGATTTGAGTGAAGCGGTCTTCATATTTCTTGCCGCGCCAAAGGGCCTGGAGACCAGGTGCTCTGGGAAAGACGTTCAGCGTCCACCAATGACTTTCCCGGATTGAGAGAACTTACTGCAATAAGATATCAAAAGCTGGCGAGAGATCTTTGTTGATTTCTGCATCGTCAGGAACTGGGCGATGGGGAATAAAAATGACTTGGAGCGCTTGTTTAGCCATTGTGGTCTAAGGCAAATTTTTAATGGTAATCCCCTGTAATTCTAATCTGCTATCTTATGGGAAATGAAACTAATTATTGATTCTTTACAGCACCCTATGCATGCGAATATGTAAATGTTACATGTGATGCAGTCTCCCCACATATTGCGGAGGAAGAGGGGCGGACTGACTTCGGCTACGAATGTCACATGAAAATATTCCCCGACATCAGTCCAGAAATCGGTCCATATAATTAATTCATCTGGTGATCTATAGAGATTTTAAATCCATAAATAACGGGTAGGTCCACAAAACTTAATCTAGGTGCTACTTATCTAGTTCATCGTATCTCTCTCCGATGAAACTTTTACATACGACTGAAAAAACAAGCTCATAGACGAGTCAAGTACCGGACCTATGTATGCTCCGTACCGCTCCCCCCAAAGTATTTTGATTCCCTTTCAGAGTCTAATTAATACGCTTTACACAGTGCACATCCTATTTTCCCAATCGATTGGCTCGGAAGGGTATTTACATCCAGCCGATCACTATTATTCACCGTAAATCCTCACTGTAGAGAAAGCGGGCTTGAATTACTTTTCCGTGGCACGCAGTAGCACTGCTAACGGCTAGACGCAACAGAATACTTGCATGATAGTCCCACTGCAAATCCACAACTTACCGTGAATAGATACGATCGTCTAAATCTTAACTAGATCTTTACCCTAGTATAGATCCGCAGAACTACAAGAAAGATAATAGCCAAGGCACTGGTAAAATGAAGCCTCTTATTTAGAGCCTCAGTTTGTGGATTAAGCTTTCTATTAGCGGGGAGTATAAAGCTGTGAAGTAAAAACTGTCTCCGTGATTAGACTTGAAAGAAAAGCGAGTAAATTTACAATGTAGTCGTCAGATCCAAGCTCTTTAAGTGGTGCAAGATATTCTTTTATGGAGCTGGAGCAACAATAGCGGGACGGAACGGCTACATAAACTTCCAAATGCAAGTGCGAGTACGATCAAGGCGAATACCCCGCACAGCTGCCGCAGACCTATCTTCATAACAGGCAAGTGCCGCGTTGAAATGGCATGCTGACATGCTGTATAGTGGGGTGCAAAAAGTTCAAACACCCCCTCCCCTGCAGCGCCCGCTAGCGTGCTGTCAAACACGTACTTTCGGTGTGTCATGATTTAAAGTACGCTTTAAAATGCCCTGAGCACATATGAGCTAGCGGGCGCTAGCTGGGGGGGAAGGGGGGGTGTTCAAACTTCTTGCAGCCCACTGCAAGTACTGTCAAGGTCAGACACTAAAGATATAAAAATGCAACCTCGTACGATTCAAGCGTATACCTGCCGAAGATACTTCGTTTAACCTCGTTGCTCAACTGCCGCGTGTCTAGAATGCAAATTCATATAACGTGTTATCAGCAAAACCTACATTACAAGGATCTACATGGTTACAGTAAGGTAGTTATTGGCTGAATACTTTATTATCTATCACCACTAATGCTTTAGTTGGACATGAAATTGCCAACAGACTGTCTATATACTAGAATAGGAACATTTACGGTACCAAAGTTCTTATAACTCTAGTTAAATCTAACTCTAGTAAAGGATTATATCATGGCACCATAGAGATTGGATGATTATACTTCGTCCCAGGCCAAATGCTTCCATCAAGAATTCTATAGCAGGGGGTAAAGAACAGTGGTAAACGCACTAAGGCCAAGGCGAGGGAAATTCAGGCCCCCTTGCCCTGGTCTTCTTGGTGGAATATTAAGCCTAGGAGTCTGGGACGAAGTACCATATACAGCTAATTACCCCGGACTTGCTGCGAGAAGTACAGGGTTGTAGTATAGTATATATATCAGGCATTTCTCTCTATGTGAAGATACCTAACCATCAATATCAAAACTCTCTTCCTCTTCTTGACTTCACTGAATCGCCTCCTCAAAAGAATACAGCAATGGAGACAATCGCCCGCCCGAGTCGATGGCTCGATGAGAAGACAGCAAACCTAGCCAAGTCGAGATGGCTCTCACACATCGCCATTCAATATTACTGTGCATTCTGTGGAGTGATTTGCTCCATCATGTTCTGTTTGGCCTTCGTTGCTGCAGACTTCATCTCCCCAATCAAGCCGTGGTGGGATGCTGAACGGACGGCACATCACTACCAAGTAAACACAACTCGAGTTCGAGCGGGTGCCGCAATTCTGGTCGTGTCCGGCATGTTCTATCTGCCATTCTCAGCCGTCATCTCCTACCAAATGAAACGCATTCCCAATCTCCACTACCTGGTCCATCAGTTGCAACTTGCTTCTGCTGCTGCAGGTATCTGGACTTTCATCTTGCCTGGTATTATTCTTGCTGCTACATCCTACCGACCTTACCGACCAGTGGAGACAACCCAGATGTTCAACGACTTTTTCTGGATCTGTGCCTTCATGCCTTGGCCAACATTCATAGCGCAGAACTTTGCCTTCTCATATGCCATTATCGTCGATGACCGCAAGAAGCCATTGTTTCCAAAGGAGCTTGCTATTGTTAACATCGTCACCCCAATTCTCTTCACACCTGCGGTCGGCATACACTGCTCCTATAGAGGGGCAACCGCCTACAATGGTGCCATGACGTTCTGGGTTCCAGGAGTCACATTCTGTCTTCAGCTTGTCGTCGATTCCTGGTATCTATACACCTCCATTCGCGAGGAGTCAAGGGAGTTGGATGCACTATCTAAGAAGAATATCTCGGATCCGGAAGTTGGCCTTACGGGCGACGAAGAACCAAAACCGGAGTGAGGACTCGGACATATGGGTGAAACAAGGGGGCGGTTGGCGACGGGATGGTTTCCTTCAATTAATGATCACGATCGTTGTTGGGACTTTGATGGAGCTGGGAACTGAAGGCATGCTTGGGACGTTCATATCAGGATTGGGTCATTGATTTGGGTTCGTTAGTAGAAAGGCAAAAAGAAGGGAGATTAGTGAGCCTCACCAGGCTCGCGAACACTTCATCATCTCCGCACATTCTTCATAAGGACTCTATATACCCTCACTAAATCTGAAAATAATAATCATTCATTTGCATGCATTTTGCAGTCATACGACCCAGCTATGAAGTGTTTCAACAAAATGCAGGTAATATTGTACTAATGTTTAGTCACGCGCGAAGGATAATAGGAATTTGAAAGAATCTGGGGCTGTCATGAGATACAGAAGAAGAAATGTTCGGAATCCAATCAAATAGGACGATCCTTTTCTCGCGGTATATAGTGTCCAAGGACCAAGTGGGAACTAGTAATTAAAATATGAACTTGTGAAAATATCACAACAGTTTACCATACCTTCAAACGAGTTCAAAAGGTTTGCAAGGCAATTTTCCTGGCACCACGACTTGGCGCACTGACTCAAAAAGTGTAGACCCTAAAGCGACTTGAAAACAGTAACTGTAACTTTATTTCTAGTTCTACTTGAAAATAACTATCGTCGATATGTTTTACAAGCACTTATTCCTTACTTAAAACCAAACAAACCTTTCCACGCAAGCAAAACATCATCCCAAATCACTAAGACAATCTAATACCACGGTTCCAAACATCAAATCAATCAAGATGGCCAAAAACAACGCCAACTCGCACTCCCACAAAACCCGCTAGACATGCAGAAAACACACCACATAATGAGATGAACGCAACACTATCAGACCTTCAATCAAACCTGGACCTCTGCTACAGAGTCTGCATCCTCTACGATCTCCGCAACATCACCAAGGATCGCACAGCCGAAGCGCATACCCTCTGCACGATCGACAAATTGTATATCAGCGGCCCATATTTCACGCCTTCGGAGTCATTACGCATAAAAACCACTATCGTCTCTCCTCTAACCCAGGATGGACTCCCTGGATTTGAAGCTCTCACGCTTGAGGACAAACTTAATGAACAGAGGTTAACATTTTTGAGTCCCAGGGTCAAGGGTTGCAGTGGTGGATGGAGAAGAACTTTTGTTGTACAATTGCTCACCCCACGTGACACTAGGATAAGATTCACTACTTATAGCGAGCCAAGAATATTTCGACCAACGGAACAAAGAGAAAAAATGGGAAGCAGAACCCTTCAAGGAAGTTGAAAAAGAAATTCGGATCGCCTGTCTGAGACAACACGGCCGAGATGGTTCAAATGCTGAGGCAGACGGGGAAAGACTCCCAACATCACCCAGTCCAACCACCACTTAAGTGCATGAGCTACTCCCCGCAACGAACGTCCCATCCGAATTCTCACATCCGCACTCCCCCGTCGTCGGACTCTCGATACAATTCGTTCCATATCCACTTGATGCGCCCGTGCCGCTACACAGTCCTGGAATCAGCATCCATCGATCTATCTTTCCCCCGTGCTACAGTATCACAGGACAAGCGGAAGTAAAATGAAAAGAAACTCACCTCCAGAAAAAGGTCCAGCAATCCGTATCAACGTCCGTCATTTGCGCAGTCGTGGGCGCAGTACATGTATACGCGCTACATGTTCCATAGGGAGCGCCATGAGAGCTGTCATATTGGTGATCTGTGACGAAGACGGCGAAGGTTTGGGTGGAAGATGTGCGGGTGTTGTGGGAGCATTCCGCTGCTTGGATGGCTTTGGACACTTTCGTGGCTGTGTCGAGTGTGTGTGTTAGAGAGGCAAGCAAGTCATGGGGCAAATAAAGCTCAGGGGCGTTATATCATACCAGAGCAGTTGTATGTGGCGGGGCATTTCCCTTGGGTGTTTGATGTGGCGGGGTCGAGTGTTGCTGCAGCCAGCGAGCTGGCCGTCAGGATGGTGAGGAATATGTTGCAGCGCATGTTCACGGTGATGATTGATTGATTGATGGATGGTTTGAGTTGTTTACGAGGATGTAGCTGGATTGGAAGTCAGAAGAAAACGGGAATTATTAAACATTCTTATAACAGAAGCGCGGAGAAATCTTAAATCTAGCAATAAATGTCAGATCTTTATGGCCAGGCGGTCCATGCAAGAACCCGAGCTGGTCTTTGGGTACCAAGTCTACTGACTGAATAGTTGTGGAACGCTTAATCACCGGAAATGTATTGTGGAAAGCGACTCGACGCTGAAACACTGGGCTGCGTTTGGAGTTGATGAAGAGAGGGTCTCGGTTGAGAATCAGGGGCCTCGCGTAAGAATAAAAACACCTGTCACAATTTCAATTATACTGGAACAAAGTGCACAAATATGACAGAAAAATGACTTTAGGGACTAGCTAGAACTCGAATCATCAAAAAAACCATTGAAAGTTCCCTAATATATATTCTATATTCTGTATCTCGAACTTAGATCAAAAGCTGCTTCTCGTATAGTGCTTCACGGGTATAAACCCCCAAAATCTTTACGACCGATTTATGAAGTGCCAGGCAGGTTGAGACATTAAAAGTGCTTCGAGTAGCGACATTTCATACAGAAGACGGTAAACACTTCGTATAAGACTTACTCCATATATCTGCGACTGTGGAAAGACCCGTGGAAAATACCCATCCATCTCCGCCAGTGCCTCGACGAGATTCCTTCCTCTGGGATCCTCCTCGTCCAATCAGCTCTTTTCAACGCTTGGAGTAGAACAGTAACACCAAATCCGAATGAAACAAGTCAACCTACGAAAACGCGCGTCCGATGTAGCTAACTGATGCGGGAGAAATCTCGCTCTCGAAATGAAGACGGATTTCCTACTGGTACTTAGCCACTGGCACATATAATTCAAGAGTGTAGAAGTTTGAGAGGGAATGATCTTCCAACACTTCCCTCCTGTTTTCATTCATTGCCAGAAATTACCTCAACTCAACTCAATCCAATCCAGCGACATGTGTAAAACAGCTTCATTAGCAATCCCGACAAACAAAAGCACAGCAGCAGCGTATATAGCTATGCCACTAATACCATAGCAGACGAGCCCATATGCTTCGTTCGGACTGTCTACCAGCGAGCGAGCGAGCACTTGAGTCTCGAAGAAATGTCTTCAATTTGGGTAGATAAGAGATGAAGGTACAGTATGGATGGAAAACGGTGACGTATGTATTAATATCCACTTGGATGGATTCTTCCCTGAATTTCGCATGCATGAATTGTCACACATTGAAATGATTCATGGAACGAAGATTTGAATCTCGAATTTGACCAATTCGCTATGTTTATGCAAATGCAATGTACTCCGTATATCGATACCAACGCCCCAGCGCCACGCCATTCGTTTCCATAATATAATCAATCCAGCACACTCTGTGTGGTAAATACATGTTTGTAATGAGACTCCCATTCATGACCTCTCTACTTGTTGGATGTTGTGTCCTCATCACCACTCTCCTTCCGCACGAGTCTGTCTCGCTCGGTGGTGCTAGCACTTCCCACTACTGTGGGACTGTTCTCGCCGTCATACTGAGGATCGTAGTCTTTGCTCCCCGTTTGCAGTCTGCGAGGCTTCTTGGTTCCACTTTCGCTCGATGTCTTCGTAGTGACTGAGTCCTTGTTGGCTTTGTTTGCCTTTGCCAACACCTCGGGATCCTCTTCATCCGAATGTACCTCCTCGTCATCCATCTCTCCATCCCTCTCACTATCCGTATCGTCCTCCGGAATCCTCTCATGCCCTTGCTCCTGACCCTGCTTCTTGATAAACGAATCAATGATATAATACTGCGTCGCGTTCATGATGACGGGGAATACCAGCATCACGAAGATAACTTGCAGCGCCTCGTCTCCTTCCGTCCAGCGTAGTGCCCAATCTCCAATGCGTGATATCCATGGCAGTACAAGAAAGATGATTAGGACGCAAATCTTCATGCCCATAAGTCCTATAAAGTAGATGATGGATTGCTTGCACCACCACCAGGCCCGCGGGGGTGAGCCGTAGTTGCCTGATTCTATTGATTCGCGGGGGTTGCCTAGGGGCGTCATGGCGAAAAGAGCTGTGAGGATTCTCAAGAGGACAATAAGGATCGGTATCCCTATCGTAGTCTATCACAGGCATTAATATTCTCCTGTTCTCTCAAAAGGGCCAGTGGAAAGCAACTTACATCGATCGCTAAGTTCAGCAAATAGAACGAACATGGATTTGGCCTGTATTTCCCATTCTCATCCACCATCCGTCTATGGGCAACGCTCGTCGCATCGACTTTAATACTGAACTGCCCAGAAGACATCATGCTCATGAGTAGATTCGAAATATGCACCAGCACGCTGCCGACGACCTGTTTCGAGACATCAAAGGACCAGATCTTGAGGGGTCGTTGAGGCCGTTCTCTCCATCTCTTGTACACCAGTGCCAGTAATGCCAGGCATCCCAACGCGGCTTGTACGAGTATTGCAAAGGGACCTAGAAGGCTGCATTCGCCGTTGTCGGGAGGTGGTTTAGGCTTGTCTTCGAAGGATATGGAGTCTGAGAGGGCGGTGGCGGTCGCTGATGCGAACGCAGCGATGCTGGTGGGGGAAGGCATATCAACGCCTATAGGGAGGATGGAGGAGAGTGTTGCTATCGTAGAGGAGAGGATGCTTGTGGGTGTGGCATTTTCGAGGAGGGAGGAGAGTGAGGGCTCTAAGCCCGGTGGAGGGAGCATGAGCTTGGGTGTGGAGAGACGGGGCGTTGGATTTGTATATGTCTAGAGGAAGGTGGTAAGAATAAAGTATGATTCTCCACCCAACAGTTCGTGGGAGTTGTCGAGAGGGTTGATCTGACTGGTGGTGAAGTGCAGCCTGCCCGAGAGATGGTGGATCAAAGGCCCTGTATGTGACGCAAGCAGTTACTGTATGATACAAGAATGCGCAGGATTATTGTTTAACACAGATACAAGGCTGAAGTGAAGAATTTAGAAACAGAACAGGTATGTTATCGAGATATCAAGGAAGAAGTGAAGCCATCATGATCCTTCCTTACAAGGATGTGGCTGTGTTGAGGTTAGGTTAGGTTAGATAGTGGCTTGTGACCCAAACGCCACTTTAATGCGATGTTTCTTTCTGTCCTCCAATGAAAGGTACAGGTATTACGGGTCTTAAGGTTAAATGGATATCTGCATATTTCGACGTCCTCAAGATCTTCGTTCTTCTACCAATCTACCTAAATTGGAAGAATAGCCCATTCGGTAAGGCTTTGAGATTTCGGTTCTTTTTTTGTAGACCATCGTCTCTCAAGCCGCTTCCTTTGTTCTTCCCGTCGAAAACGGGTCAAATACGAAACAGAATTCTACCTCTCCTTTGCACAAGTCGACCGAAGTTCAAAGTTGAAAAGCGCTTTTCTGTTCTGGCGAAATCACCTTCAACAATGCAATATCTATCACAGGTGGCACGTAGATACTCGCATGAGGGAGGATGTACTCAAAGCACCCCACTTGTAGCCAGCGCTTCAATGGAGCGGCGCGTCACCCTCGTGTCCTTTTGTCCTTTAGCACCTCAGTTATTCATTCGACATGAGACATACTTTTTTTCCTACCCATGTATAGTAATATTACATTATCAATACAAAGGCAGACCACCAAACTCTTCCCCCATCAGTAACCACACCAAAACGTACCACCCAAGACATGTGGAAGTATAGCAGAAATCACAAAGACAGAGGTCCAAAACGTTAATCGGATCGAGCTGTGAAGGACAGGACGGCGCCATTCGTGTCGACCTGAGTCGCATGTCCTAGATCCCCGAAGTCATCATTCTATCACAGACCCAGCCCTCGGACCTCAGCCAAGAGGTCATCCTGTATTATATCTAAACCCCCACAGTATTTGACATCCCGCGCAGTGCTGTTGATGAGACTAGCCGGAAAGAGACGGCGTCTTGTCATGTCTCTCAACCACGGAAAGAGGCTGAGCTGTATCTCGATCAAGTACGCTGGCAGTAATGTCATCGACGGGTGCAGGCTGCACGTTCTGGTCTTCTGTCTGTCTACGAAGTATGTCGCCCAGTAGATGACCCAAGCCCCCGTTTTCCGCCAGTAGGTCGTCAAGTATATCGCCCAGATCATTAACTACGCCGGAGCCGTCTTAGGCTATTGCTGGTGCACCCCAGATGTAGACAGGGAGGATGAGAGCAGCGATGCCGAATAGGTTTGAGAATTGCATATTCGCTGACTGAATGGCTGGCTAGTAGGAGGCTTCTTACACACAAGAGACTGCAATGCCAAAAAGAGAGTTCAGTGGACTCATCTCGATATATACCTGCGGAAATGAAAACGGGTCCGGAAACCAACACACACAACATCGTAGACCGAACTTCGTTTTCCAGTCGTTGAATTGATTAGAATGCAAGAAATTGCTTACTTGACCTGTGGGAGCTTACGTTGACCTTGGAGTCTAATTACTAATATCAGCACTGTGATAGGAAGAACATAATTGGGATATTGCAAGTCACCGAGAAAATGAATGGGCTGACCCATAAACTTCCTTTCCTCTCCTCGACCGCAAAACTGAAATTCGTCGGCGACCTTGATAGAACATCATTCTCGCTTGCTTACTCCGTATTCCATACATTTTACGGCTCTGCTATATCTATAGCAGCTTGGGAAGGAGTGAGTGGTGTAGTGTAGTGTAGTGTAGTATGGTGTCACCAGGGCATGTATAGATAGACATCAAGTATGGAGAAAGAAACCAATGCATTCATTCATTTATTCATCATCCATCCATCCATCTCCCGTTCCCATCACCACACCCATACCCAGTCCTACGAACCCATGCTCGCTATGCACCAGAGAACCCCCCACTCCCAACCCACCCCACCTAATAATAACACGCAAGAACCCTCCAGCCCATCCATCCACCCAGCCGTATCTTATGTCAGTCTCGCGTAACCGCACATATCAGCCATCCATCCATCTGCCTGCCGTCCGCCGCTCAACTCCAGTGACGGGACGAGGCGGGGTACGGATTTACTGTGGGCAGCTCTGTCGTATCATTAGCATGAATCGACAGCAATAATAAACCAAGAAGAGGAATCTCTATTAGGAAGAAGATGGAGAAGAGGCAGAGGGGAAGGTAGGGGGGAGGCATACAGCGCCGCACGATCCACAGGTCTTTCCACCGTCGCTCGAGGCGCCGCATTTGGGACAGGCTGAGCCGTGCATGTTTGCTGTTGGGCTGGTTGTTTGGTTGGTTTCTTGTAGATGATTTTGGGGGTTTGAGTGGTCGGTGAAGGTAGTTGTTTGGCTTTGTGTTGATGTGATGTGGTGAGGTTGAGAAGTGGGAGGAGAGGAGGGGTTGTTGATAGATAAGGGAAGTACTGTAAAGATGGAGGGGTTTACTTGGGGGGGGGGGTATGACCAACCGACAGGGCTACATTTGTAGATGATCCTGTTGCAGGGACCAATGCTACGCCTGCACGTGGCAAGATTGGGGGCTCGTGCTGTTTACGGTATTACGATGATCCGGATGAGCATACCATGTCAATAACCAGAAGTTGTATTACAGTGAAGAAGCGTATGGGTATGAGTGAGAAGAGTACTGTGCTCAACCAGAGCAGCAAGCATATCATTTGCAAGTTGCAGTTATATCCTCAAAACGAGAGTCAACACCCCATAAAGAAAAAAGCTACCCTATCCAGTCCATCCTAGCCCAAGGCCGAAAAATAGACAACCAGATGTTATGAACGTAACCTCCCTTCAACGCCTACTTGGTAAACAGCCCGCGCATAAAGTCAAAGAACGAAGAAGAAGAAGAAGCTCCTAAGCCCGGGGTAGCAGTAGAACTTTGACGCCGTTCCGATGATGGTATTCCCAAACTGCCCTTCCGACCAGGAGACACTTTTGAAGACGGGCTCACAGGAGCCTTGTGGTTGTTGCTTGTTCGTCGAACAGTAGAGCGGCGAGGACGCGAGGGCCATGCTACTACAGTTGCTTCCGAAAGCCCGTCTATTTGTTATTCGATGCCGTGCTGTTTCTTGAGCTGCTCTAAATTCTCCTTGCGGGATTCTAGGTCCTCTTTCGATCGAGCCATCTTCTCTGGTTGATGGTAGAGCACTGGAAGGTCATTAAAATGGGAAGGTAAATTCGGAAATGTGCCGGACTTACCAACGAGATAGCGATTTTGGAAGTTGAAGCCGTTCAACTTATCGCAAGCTTGCTTGGAATCCATCACGTCCTCGTAAACGACATAGGCGGTTCCTTTGGTTTGGTTGGCGATGCCTTGGCGGATTTGACTTGGTTCGGGGTTAGTATGTTGCTCAAAGGACGTGGAAGGTGGTGAATGGGGGCGTACCGAATAGGACCAAATTTGCCAAACAGGTCGAAGAGCTCCTCTGGAGTAACGTTGTAGCTGTTTCCAGTCAGTAAGCTGTTTCATATCCCAGCGCCATCGCCTTCCTCATATCCCCGGATTGTTTCACAAAGCATGGACGAACCTTAGATTCTTGACGAACAATACACTGGGATACGGATTAGCCATGGACCTCACGAAGAAGCGTGGAGCGCAACGTACCGATTGACCTCGGGTGCAAGCTTGCCGCCTCGACTCATAGCTTGGCTGACTTGTATGTTGATGTTGGTCTTGGTGATGGGGAGTGGATATACGAAGTCGCAGATGCGCAATGAATGGTACCAGAGGCGGAGGGGTTGATGATAATCGATTTGAAGAAAGAGGTGGTCACCTGCCACCAATCCTCTTTGGGAACTAGCGTGGTATTAGCGTTGGCGCATATTACCCATAACCGGAACCGGACCGGAGTCAACCCAAACACAAGAATTAATAACTGAGGATGACATCTTCTTTCACTTCATTTCTTTCTTTTTTGCAATATTGCATCGCATCTCATATTCAGGCAAGTAATGGTTGGTGAGGTGGGATGGAGACGACCGCGGGTTCATTTCCATCTCAAATGGGGCATTTCCAAGCATCGGAGATGATTGCAAGATAGTATTCCTCTCCCGGACCTCGCTCACAACCACTCATTTACCCATGCAATATTGGATATAAATCTACAACTACCCGCTAAGGACTCCGCAGGCTTGGTACCGAAGTCGAGGCTGAGAATCTAAAGTTAGAGAGTGACTCCATTTGCTGAAACCTCGAGGCATCTGGCTTGAAGTTACAACCGCAGATCGTGCTTTGAAATCCACATCTCTTTTTATATCATGTCGAATTCATCCCTCTTCATATATTCATATTTATCACTTCTCACAAATTCTGTCCTTGTTAGTTGTTGGAATATGTTGAGCGCATTTGATAGCACCCTGTATCTTACACTGACATTCTTATAAAATATTTATTTTCCTGGCATTGCTTAGATCGTATATGCAGAAGATCTTGTCTCCATCAACCCATCGCATTGATGTCTAGATGGTTTTACGATTCGGGAGGGGTTGCGGCAAGCGCTTAAGCCTGGATGGGTGTTACAGTATACGCCCTCGACGCCATGTTTCATGGTTTCTCTTTTGTGAGCTTGGACCATATATATCACGCATCCTGTTGGGATATGTATCACGTGTGCTACATGACCTTCGTCTTGATGACTAAGTAGCGATAAGGCCTTTCACTTTATCGCTGCAACCTTAGCTAGAACCTCTTCTACACCTAGAAATGCAACTACGTAACCACGAAAGATTCTAGGCCAAACCAGTGCACTATTTGTATACCAACACATCCAGTCTAGCCTCGCTCATGGGCTCAAACTGCCAAGTCACCAAAAGAAATTGAGAGCGGAGCACGGAGACAATGAAGGTCCGTTAACCCACTATATTTCCACAATTTATGCTTTTACAGGGTTTGTATGGGATCGAGCAGTTCCTATTCGAGTATATAAATATCTTCTTGGCGGTCTTCAAACCCTCCCCCTTTGATAAATGTTAGATCGTTCGCGCCAGCGTCAATACGAGGGGCGAGTGTCCTGATACTTGGCACCCATCAGCTATCTACTAGCCTTTCACGTATACAGCTCTGCTAGGAAAAACAATAAAATTTAAGCTTATACAAGCCTATCAGGGGCAGATATCTGCTATGTCTCTGTACTCCCTCTCACTCAAGTCATCTTCCATAGCCATTCATTTCTATAGGATTTCATGTTTTATGGAAAAAATCCATAAATTAACATTTCTTAAGTGAGGGGTGAGATAGTAAGGTAAGGCATACAGATCGTGCGGCGGGGAGGTATCCGAGAAGTCACAGTACCGTATTTCGTTCATTTTCTAAGCAGAAACATGCAATCTTCTCTTAAGAGTATATCCTGGTCGTAAGTAGAAATTTGCGATCGTACCTGCGATTGTTCTGTTCAGGGCGCGACCTATACTTTCGTTATTGCCAATTTTATCCACGTTTCAGCTGGTCAGATTCATCGCCACATGACTGCGGCTCCTCTCGCCTAGTCAGGATTTTCACGTAAAACCCCTTAAATAACATGCTTATATAAACCCTATTTTTCAAATGCCCAATCAGAGGTTTCTTGTCTCGTTCACCTGGGCCAATCAAAGGCTCCACGGTCCTTGGAGGATCGTTATGCTGGTCGCAACAATAGGCAGCGGAGCTATATCAATTAGCCTGACATGTCTATCCAAGTAAGCCTCGATCTAATGGATCCTTTCAAATACCTTCTGTTGCGCAAACATTCCTTCGCTTTGTGTTTTGCGTTCAAACTTTCAGGGAATTTAATGATTTGGTTTTTTTGAGTGTAGATATTCAAGATGGGACTGTTCAAGTTCGGGATCACTCTTTTATTCATAGCAGGTCAAACTAATGCTTTAATTCCTTCAACATACAATGTGTAGGATTCCCTCAACTCCCTACGCAGGTCCTAACTGACAACAACTTCAGTCTCATCACACGCACATCACCAACTAGCATCGATGGCAACTGTGGCTCAAACTCAGACACAAACTCCACCTGCCTCACAAGCACATGGGGAAACTGCTGTTCTTCAAAAGGCTTCTGCGGTTCCACCTCCGCCTATTGCGGCGCTGGGTGTCAAAGCGATTTCGGCACTTGTACAACCACGGCGGGATCTCAGAGTATAAGCACATCTGGATCATGTGGTGCGACTTCGACAGCCAACATTACTTGTCTCGGTAGTACGTTTGGTGACTGCTGTTCGCCATTAGGCTATTGCGGGGGGACTTCTGACTATTGTGGTGATGGATGCAAAGCGGGTTTCGGGAAGTGTGGAGAGAGTAGTGAGACTGTATCCAGCTCTTCCTCAGCAGCGAGTTCGTCGCCCTCGGCCTCGTCCTCGTCGGTAGTAACATCCTCATCCACACCCTCATCTCTACCATTAGGAACCAGCAACTCCACCAACGGCACAAACACAAACTCCACCACGCCGTCGCACCAAGAATTCCTCTCCGCAGGCGCCAAAGCCGGAATCGCAGTCAGCGTCAGCGTCGCTGCAATCCTCGCTGGCGTTCTAGCCTGGTACGTTTTGATCGAGCGCCGGCGGCGTCGTCAACCAAAATTACCTGTGTCGGAATTGGATGCTGATCCTTTCTCTAGAGGAGGACAAGGACGAGGACAATCGCAAGCGCCGGAAGCCAGGTCCATAAGCCAGGAGTTATTCGTGCCGCCCGCCGAACTGAGCGTTTATAAGAATAACCCGCATGCTGTGGAGTTATCAGCCATGTCGCAGGCGTGGGAAATGGATATAGATGATGGGGTTGGTGAAAAGCAGAGGAATGAGCTTGCTCGTGAGGGGGTTGCGGCTAGGCGTGAGGGGCCTTAGAGGGATTTTAATTTTAGTCATCCTGTTCTGTTGCAATCGAAACCAAATCATCGTTCAGCTTTTGGAATCCCAATGCGCTGTTGTCGTCTCGTCGTGCAGCAAGGGCTTCCCATTCAGCTTCCTGCAAGACATGAGATATTTCCAAACCCCTAACATTGTCCTCGCTCTCCGAGACGCAGCCTCCTATAAATACAGTATCCCGGTGCTCCGTCCCTTACCTGCATCCGCAAATGTCGGAGAATGATCGTGCAAATGTCACCCTCACGCAGAGCAGCTCTCTGTCTAATCCATCTTCGCTTCAGCGCTCGAAGTCGCGCGCTGTCCTCCTTCCTCTTTTCCTCCAAGCAATAAATCTCCATTATTCGCCCTTTCACAGATTCTTTGCTGTCAACTCAGCTCTTGTTGTCAATACCCCGACACATTCATCCATTCATTCATTCATTCATTCATTCATTTCTTCATTCATTCATTTCTTCATTCATTCATTTCTTCATTCATTCAACATAACAATAACGTCTTCCATAACCCCGAATGTAAGTTCAAATAAAAGCAAGGAAGATTCCATTACTATTTGTCGCAGACGTGCACTTGGAGGTATGGGGGCCTATATTGCCAACCCATAATTTGATCAAGGATAATTGTTCTTACACCTCAGCCTCAGTATGTCATATTTATACATCCTATAGCTATTGTTTTTCTGAAAGTGAAGCAATGACCTTTATTCACCTCTCACCCAACTTACTCCTACCCCAAAAACGGGCAATATTCTTTTTGAACCAAGGCTTGGAAGGGGTAACTATATACTTACAAACTCTCCGGGTCTACTTCAGTATAATTTGAACTCCAATGTCACTGCAGTCTCTCAGCGTGGAAAGGCTACGCCAATAACCAAGACGTTACATCGTTTCAGGTTCCCAACTATCCACTCCACGCATATATCTAAACCATTCTGCACGTCTCTCTAATCCAGGATTTCACTCTGTAGGCAGTATAGTAGCGGTTTCCTTGCTGTCAAGAAAGTATTTGCTGTCAAACTCAATCAAATCTAATTCAAACGTAACGTAACAATCCATCTTCCCCTCATCCACCTACCCATTTACTCACTCAAATCCCGGCTCTCTCTGCTAAGAAACACATATCAACGCCACTAGAAAGAGCCAAATCGCCGAATGTTCTGGTACTCTGTATCTCCGCCCTGTCTGGTTTACGAATATAAAATATTTACATAATCACGTACTTCTACTTAAGTGATTACTCTTTGGTAGCATTACACAAACTTTGCGTAGTTGAAGATCTCTTATGGTATCCCACCTGCCATAATTAACACTTTTTGTTGGGACATACCCCAATGCATTACGTGTAACCAACACTTTTGCATAATATTGAGTCCCGTAATTATATGACAATTACACTCACATTTGAACGAATAGCTCTGCACGTAGTATATAGGTAGATCAAGAGTCCCCTTCTTACTAATAACAAATATACTAAATGCCTCTTGACATTTAATGATGTATTAACTATAATTGTTGAATTTCTAAATCCTCTAGCAATCTAAAGGAAATCTATATTCTTCCTTAAAACATTCTTTCGCTAGGTAATATCCATACAAGTACAAGTACAAATACAAACCCCCCATGCTCAAATCAAAATCAAACCAAAGCCACCTGCCTCGCCTCAACCCGATCCTCATGTTCACACAGCACTAAGAAATTCGTAGCGTTTAGCGGTAACAACCCAGCCCATGCAGCTGGTTTCTCAGCAATGATAAGCTTGTTGCCCCACGTGGCGCCACCGTCGTCGCTGGTGATGATTTTGACATAGGCGTTGCGGTGCCACATGCCCTCCAGCTTCTCTTCGTCGGTCATGAAGCTGACGATTAGGGTTTGGCCGACTAGGGCTACGGAGGGAGCACCTGCGTTTCTTTCTGTGGGGGATGGTTAGCTAGGTGGTTGCCCAGGAGGGGAAGGTAATATTTGAAGAGGGGGGAAAGGAAAAGTGAGGGAAGGGAAGGGAAAGTAATGGGAATGGAATGGATGAATGATAGAGAGGAAAGGAAGATACATACTAAGTCGATTCTTATCCCCCTTGTCCCCAAACCAAGAATCATATATCAACCTCCTCTCCCCCCAACTCACCCCCCCATCCCTGGACATCACACTCCACACCTCAAACCTTGCCTCAAAAACCGTTCCATCCCCCTTCTCCTCCACCGTCTCAAAAACAGCCATCAGAACCCCACTCCCCACCCCCCCCAACCTCCTGAATACCCACCATCCCATCCCTAGTCTGCAATCCAGCTCCAGACACCGTCCTCGCATCCCCCCATGTAACCCCCCCATCCCCACGAACTCCTCACCAAATTATCCTGATCCCTCCCACCCCCCATCTCCCTGGAGAAGAAAAACTGCAACTCCCCCCCTTCCTCCTCCCCTCCACCCACAAGTCTTAAAAACGGTTCCCAAACCCCATTCGCAGGCCCCGGTTCCTGCGCCCCCGTACTCAGGTACACCCACGTCTTCCCTCCATCATCACTACAGAACACCAGTAGCCGGAAGAACAGGTACCCCTCATTCAGCCCCCCCGGCTTCTCCTCCTTCCCTAGCGCCTCTGGCTCCTGCGTGTGCGCGCGGAAGGCGCACAGGATGCGTCCGGACGGTAACTCGAGCAGGAAGGAATTATCGAGCGCCGTAGCCTCGCTGGCCAGCTTGGAAATCACGGTGCCGTACGGGCTCCACGTCGTGCCGGCGTCGTGGGATATGGAGAGCTGGATGGCATTTTCGGGGTCGTAGACTGTGAGGGAGGCGAGGAGGGCGCCGGAGCGTAGTTTGATGGCTCGTGGGTATGTTTGTTTCCCTGGCCGTGGGAAGAGGGGGGCTGGGGCGCCGATGAGGGTGGGTTTTAATGTTGGTGTTGTTGTGAAGAGACCGCCAGCGGTGGTGTTGAACAGGGGGCCGAGACTGACCTTGCCTGAGGCTAGTAGGTAGAGGATTGTTACTGTGAAGATGGCAGCTGCTGTTATTTTTTGTACGCGCAACATGGTCAATTACTGTATGATTCCTCCGTCCGTTCTTCGGATGCTTCAAGCAATCAATGGGATTTATTTGTTTCTTTAACTATGTGAGGCATGATATAATTGTGCTCTATGGATTTTCGAAACAGAAACTCCTGAAGATCTATGTGTGTCATAGTGGAAAAGGGGGTTCAACGGTAGGTTCGGATCGACCACTAACTTATCATACTCGAGTAAGAGCCAGTTGGATGCTCATCGTATTTGCCGCGGCCCATATAATTGCCAATCCGCAATTCCAAGGAGCAATAAGAAAGAGGATTAACCTTCTTTAAATTCGCCATTACCCTTGAAATTATGGATCATCGAGACAAGATCGTCATTTTGAGACGCCAACTGTGGGTTCTCGAAACACCTCAAACTTAATTTCTACCACATGTGAATTTACGCTTAAGTAATCTAGATTGTATACGATACCACCCCACCAGTGTACAAGCTAGGAGAGTACTGTACTGTTGTGTAAAGTGATTATCGTTGAAAATATGTCTAATATCAAATTCGTCTCGTAATTCATCATAAAACAAAACACCGTACACAAGCACCAACTCCGCCCAACACAACACAACACCAGAAGAAAAATGCATATTGAAACCAAAACACCCATTTCACGTCACGTCACGCCATGTTACTTCTTCCTCCTATCCCCCCAACAACGCCTCCAACCTCCGAATACCAGCCTGCAACCCCACGCCCTTCTCACAATTCCCCTCCAACCACGCCTCCATGGCCTCCCTACACTCCCTCATGCCCTTTAGCACCGGCATCCTGCCCCATTCCTCGCCCTCAACATGCATACCCGGATTAAGCAGCAAGTCGAACGCGAGGCCCCAAAGTTCAACTTGCCAGTACCGTTTCAAACTCTCTCTAATCCTCCAGATTTTCTTCGCCGTGGCGCCAATATCAGCGCTTTTATCAGCGACCGTGTCGATGTATTTACCGAATAGCATGCTGTGGATTATACCAGCGAGACCATGGTAGTCAATTTGATAAGTCCAGGGCCTCAATTCCCGCATCTCTGCACAATCCTGTGGGCTCGTCTTCCAATCCGCGATAAAGCCCACATCAGGTCGGAAGACCTTCATGTCAATCCCGCGTCCGAAATCAATGAGCGCTACACCCTTCTTACTCCAGCCGCCCGTGCCATCGCGGCGGTATTTGGCAGACCAGACGTCTGTGTCTGAAAGAGCGTCAAGACGCACGAGACAATTGTCTGCTTTGAGATCGCCATGCAAGATGCCTTTGGAGTGTAGGGACTCGACGGTGCGGAAGAGTTCAATGGCGAAGAACATGGCGAGGGACTCGTCCATTACGCCCGGGCCCGCGGCTGTGGATTCTGAGCGTGCGATATTGATTACGTCCAGGAGGGTTCCTTGGTCGCGGTATTCTTCGATTAGGTAGCATTCGTCTGCGTAGAGGTGCATTTCGTAGACATTTATTACTGATTCCGAAGCTCGGGAGACTCCGAGTCGGCGTTTTGCTTGTCGCATGATGTAGAATTCCCAGGCTGTGGGCGGGTCTTCCATTTTCAGGGCTTCGTGGGTTTTGCGGCTGTAGGCGTCAAAGGCGCCTTTGCCCATTACAGCAGGGGTGTTTTCATCCTGTTCTTCGTCTTCGGCGACGTTCTCGAGGAGGTATACTGGAGCAAAGGCGCCGGCACCGAGTTCGCGTTTGACCATGTATTGTCTGTCGGTACCTGGGAACCGCAATGTGGGTGGCATGGAAATATTGGTCGTTGTCCTGTCGCTTGCATTCTTGCTCATTTTGGACATGGCTTTTGCAAACTTCTTGATCTCTCCCGTCCGTCCTCGTGTCTCATCTTTGTATTCGAAGAAACCATCATAGGTAGACAATGGGGGCTGTAAATTTTCAAGAATCATAATTCGAATATAATCATCGATAGGGTTACACTGTGCATCCTTAATAATTGGTCCCTTGGGAGCGATCTCTTTGGCGAGGGCGCCTCCACCCGATTGCACCTTTGCGGCAATAGCAGTGGTCTTGTTGGTCTTCGAAATCTTCCCTAGCTGTGGCGGGGCAATCTTTTCCACAGGCCTGGCTCCGTTGACAATCTCTTTGAACGGACTACTTCCGAATTCGACGGACTGCGGTTGCCTCGAACTATTCCCTTTGCTAGGTGTTTTGGAGCTGTAGTAGTTTTTGTCTTGTCGGGCGGTGGGCACACCGAGAGAGGATTCAGTCTTCTCGGCAATAGGTGTCATAAAGGGAAGACGGTTTTGGGATGCTTGGGAAGGATCCCGATAGGGTCGTAGTGGTGCTTCATAGTCCTCGGGTGGTATAGGAACAAATATAGTTCGTCTTAAAGGTGGCAGCTCTGGCGATGCTGGCGTACTGTAGTCATTTTCTTCCGTATCTTGGGGTACCTCGACCTCAATAGCCTCGAATCCTTCATCGTCGGCGGCAGTGAAGCGCGAAACCCGAGTATCATCATCCTCATCCTCATCGTCCATGTTAGGAATGTGTTTCCTAGCCGTGAATTCAGACCATTCGCTAACACTCTTGGCTTCTGATGTTTCATCATCTCCTGCTTCACTTGTAGTGACGAGTTGACCAGTTCCAGTTTCATCGTCTCCCGCTTCGCTGGTTGTAGTAAGCCGACCAGTTCCAGTACTTTCACCACCACTTGTATAATCTCCATCTGTCATATCCCCATCATCATCTTCACTCTCATCTTCCTCCTCCTCTTCTTCTGGCTGGTTAAGCGGTTGGCTAAATAAGTCAAAGATTTCATCAGTGGCGGCTCGAGTATGAAGTGTCATAGTTTGTTCCTTGGTCGATTTTCGCTTGGTCATTTTCGGACCAGACGGTGACGACAATTTCGCTTTGACTGTGATGTATTAGCATTTCAGTAAAAGAAAGCGCCCATTGAGACCTACTAATTTGGGTCTCATTAACTTCTTTAATTTTCATCCTTCGCCCTCGCCCTTCTCGGCTAGACTCTTTTTGCACCCCGTTCTCATCCAGCGCGACCGGATCCCGTAAGATAACGAATTTATCAGGGACTTCCCTAGTGATAGTTCCGACAGCTTCATCTGTCTGCACTACCTCTACTAGAGGCTCATTATTCTGCTGCTTAACAATCTCAGGGTCCCAGACTTTCGATAGCCATCCGCGGTGCCCAGCTCGCAGTTCCTCAAGACTCAATTCAGATCCAAGAATTTCTGGGCTATGGTACATAGCTTCAAGGTCAACAAAAATACGTTCAGTTCTCCCTTTTTGATTAATAGTCACTTGTTCCTGCTTGGGATTGGTAACTTGTGCATATTCGTAATGAGGTAAAGACTGGAATACAAAACGCCGTAACCGACAATTATTAGTCCTGTGATAATCAATATGTGCATGAAAAGGGACGGAAGAAAAATGTGACTTACCTCATCCTTGAATACCGGTATTTTAGTGCTGCTTTTCTTTCCTCCCGCCTTTAGAGTCTCACCAACCCAGGGTTTCGCTTCCATCACGTTCTCTTTTTTACGATCTGCCAGTCCTCCAATACTCTCCCAGCCCTTAGTCCCGCCCGATGCCAATGCAGGTGCGGCATCATCACCGTCGGAGAAAATGGTCAGCTTCTGCTTTCCACTCTTCGTAGTCGAACCTCCAACTCCAGAGTTTGGTCGTGGCGCTTGTGGATCCCTGGGGGCAGCTGCGGCGAACGGGTCGACTTTTGCAGCGAGTGCAGGTCGTACACTTGGCAGCGCCGGTGAAGATGGTTCATTGGCATCAACTGGTTTTTGGGAGAAACGTTGCTGGAACTCGTTGTATTTGCGAAGTAAGCGGGGAGTCGGTAGAGCTTCCCTGTCTATGCCTAATTTGTAGACCTCTTCCGCCTGTGTCCATCGGCCAGCACCCTCTAGCCATGCAGCGAATTCCTCGTAGAACAAAGCAAGCCCTTCTCCAATGTTATGACGAGCTAAGAAAGCGAATGTCTCTCGCGGGGTATCTGAGAAGAAGCGAATGTATGATATCCACAATTTTAGGTATCGTGGATCGTTCTTGTACTGAGGCGAAGTGAGGAATGCCTTTGTTGCGCGCTCGAGGAGGGGAAGGAGTTGTGATGAAGGTGTTGCTTGGGCGGAAGGATACGCATCGAGAGTCCACCGGACGTAGCGGTCGTAGATGTCTAGGGGGTCGTCGGACTCAGATATGTTGGTCAGCTCAATCTCGTATTCCTGTCTAATTGCATCGTTGAGGTTCTTCGTATCTGAGGGTGTTGGTGTTGAGAGGGCGTGGAGGGGAGATGGGGAAAATAAGCCGGCGAGACTTCGCGCGGATCTTCCACTAGGTAATGATTGTATATTTTCTTTTTGACTTTCGATTATATCGAAATCGATGAGGTCCTCGGTGACAGACATTGTATCTGATGTTGTGGTGTTTGTCGTAGGTGTTGATTATCGCAAGCCATCTTCGCGATTGGCATGCGATTTGTTTACATGTAAATACGCATCACGTGTGGTTGCCAGGATAGGCAACACGTGATACTCCATCTGCGTCACAACCGAAAGCCATTGGGGATTGTTTTCTGCTTGGCGTAAGTCTCTGCATCTTATCTTGGAATATCCGTATAAAGTCCTCGTCTCTATGTGACTTGACTATATAACTCAAGCATGAAGAGAATCACGTGTTGCTTCCACAGATACCCGTATACTCCGTAGATATTGAGAGACGGTTATTACCTACATAGGTACAAGATTACGACGCGCACTACTGGTATCTACAAATGTCTTGCGCTGCGGAGAAATACAGTAGAAATAAAGGAAAGCCTTTCGTATCATACAATATAGATGTCGTTCCCGCATTCCATTCCAATATAATCCTATCATTCTTCCTCGAATCCTTTTCGCTTTCTCTGCTATAAATATGCTACTATAATGGTCATTTGAAACGAGACATCAGTTTGGAAGCTTAGTCTCCCCGCAGTGTAGGGGGTCGTGCAGGGGCCATCCTGCCCTGCCAAGCTGCCAAGTGACCAAGCCATGTGAGGCGGAGCGGAGGCCATGGCGGCCATGCTCGCCATGCTTGCGTGAGCCCCGAGGGATCGACACTACAAAAAGTGGGTTTCAATATTGTGGGAGCAGAAGCAAGGGGTGCGACACGTAACCTTTCCTTGAGTATATTCTCTCTCTCTCTCTCTTCCTCATTGTTTCTCTTGCTGTTTGTCTTTCTCATGTTTTCACTCTCTAGCCTTCGACGAGTATCTCTTTCCCTTGTCGTCATATAAATATCCAGCCGCGTTTGCAGCCTTGTATCAGTCTTTCTCTTTCTCTCTTTCTTTTCCCCTTCATTTTGAAAAGTCCCGGCGGGTGGTTTACCAAGATGCTCAAAGCCTCAGGAATTCCATGGCCAATGCAGTCTAGAAAAACACAAATGTTTTTGAATGGCGGACTCCTTATGGGTCTGTGTTTGCTCTTTTATTACATGTAAGCCCAAACCTGCAACATCAGAACATCCGAGAATCCGACTGACAAAAACAGCTCATGGACAGCTCTCCAACACCATCCCTCTTCCTCCTCAGTCTCCGATGCCACAAATCCAACTTCCCTCCCAGAAACCTCACCAGCATCAACCTCCCCACCAGCCCCTCCAAC